TTGAGAAATGTGGATAATTCGAATTCTTCTTTTTCTTGCCAATCGTTGGTTTGATTTTTGTTTCCACTAGATTGTTGGCTGAATTTTATGCGCGTTGTTCTGAAATCATGAACATGGTTGAAGCTCTTGTAGAAGCTTCTGATCCCTAACCTTCCCCTGAATTTGGATCACTAGTCCTCCTTGAAATGTTCTTCCCTCTATAGCTTTCAAAAACACAAGAAGTCTCTTTCTTTTGTTTCAACAACGTTAAAAAGTAGCTTTAGTGCTTGGTGGAGATGTTAGACGACTTTTTCTAATTTGTGGCCATTCACAGAAGCAAAAAGGAGAAAAATGGAAATTTTTTGTTATACATAGGATAATTTCTGGGATTTTTTACATTCGCTCAAAGATGAACATAGTTTTTGCATAAGCTCAAGCACCAGACCATTATTGAGATATCAATTCTTGTTAAATTTTCGGCTTCTTCTTTTAGTGTAAAACTTAAAAAAAGTTTGAATTTAAGTTACAACTAATCTTAAAACTTTAGGTTGGCGGGCCTGCCCGAGACCCAAATTTTTCGGGCTCAGCGGGCAGGCCCATAAGGCTGCCCGTCCAAGTAAAAATTTGGGCTCGGGCTTGGGCTGTCCGAAAATGAACGGAGTCGTCGGAGCCCGCCGTTGATGGAAAGCCGTCAACCATCGTCCGCCGGAATTTTTTTAAAATTTTTTCACTCCAGCCTGAAAATTGTCTGAACCCGAAGCTCGAAAATTGCCTGAATTGCCCGAACCTGAAGCCCGAAAATTGCCTGAACCCGAAGCTCGAAAATTGCCCGAATCCGAAGCCCGAAAATTGCCCGAACCCGAAGCTCAAAAATTGCCCGAACCTGAAGCCCGAAAGTTGCCCGAATTGCCCGCACCCGAAGCCCAAAAATTGCCCGAATTGACCGTTGCCCAAATTTCAGCCGAACCTGACCCACCGAGACAAAAAGTGACCGTTAAATTTGAATTTGGGGAAAAAAAATCAATTTTTAACTCAAAAATTTTCCTATAAATACCCTCTATCCCTCATACATTTTCCTCACAAAAACTCTCTCAATCCCTCTCAATTTCTCTCAATCTCTTTCAAATTCTCTCAATCTCTCAAATCTCTCTCACAATTTTTCAAAAAATTATCACAATATCCTAAAACTATCATGACAAGTTGAATATGATGAGTAAGTCACAATCTATTTGAAGATTCTCAACCACAGTCATCATGTTTATTTATATCCATCTCTAAGCGTAAGATGTCCTTTTTTTTAGGTAAAGTACTATAGCATAAACAAAACATGATATTGAAATACAACTGTTAGTTATATGTTTTGGTTTCTCTTCACTGACTGAAAATTGGTCAATTAAATATTGCATATACAGATTAATGACGAGGTCATGCGATTGTTATTGTTAACAGTCAAAAGTTTTGATCAAGATGTCTTGAGATTTAAGAGGTGAACTGAAGAAGACTTGTTTTATATATTATTTAAAGTGAGAAATTTCGTATGTTGTTGTTGTTAATATTATTAATAATTTGCATTTAGTGAAAAAAGGGTAAAATGAATAATTTATTGGATGTCAGAGTTATGATGCTTTGTTTGGATTAGGATGTCTTGTGATTTAAGAGGTGAGCTGAAAAAGACTTACATTGCATATTATTCAAAGTGAGAATTTTTGTATCTCGTGGAACTTTTTGTAATCAATCTTTAGTAGTTTCTTTGTAAGTGAAAGTGTTGTGGACTAATAATAATCTATAACCTGACACTATTATCTGTGCATATTGATAGTATCTTTTAGATTTTTTTTTCTTTTGCTCATGAATTCTGCTTGTCATGTTCCGTGTACTTGTTGAAACCATCCTTCGAGTTTTTAAGCAAAAATAAATATGTTTATTTTCAAAGAAACAACAGACAGGAATAGAGAAACAATAAAACATTTTATTGTGCCCATTCGTCAAGAAATTTTTGAAGTGCAACACTTTAGCTAGTTCGTTGCTCTTTAATTATTTAATAACATTGCTTTCTCTATTACTATATGCTTGCATTATTTTCTTGGTGCAGAGGCTGATGGTGCTCTAGACAAATACAATTACTAATAATAGTATATTATATAATATACATATATATATATACAATAATAAAAATTTTAAAAATATAATAAAATATTTTTTTTTTTGGCCACTCGGGCGGGCTCGGGCAGCCAAACACAGGCCCGCGGCCCATCCATGGGCCTTCTCGGGCTCGTGTGGGCGGCCTGAAAAAATCAGGCCAGGCGGGTTCGGGCTCGGGCAAAAAATCAACTTTTTCGGGCGGTTCGTCCAAAGTTCCAGCACTAGTGACAACTTTATTTAAGTTCATAAAATTTGAGTTCAAGTTTCTCCTTCAACTCAAGTTCTTAAATTCAAACTCAAGTTAATGAATAATGTTTTTTCTATTCTTAAAAACGTCATGACTTTTTAATTTTAATTTCGATTAAGATTATTTTTTTATGCGTTTTTACAACAAAAGGACGAATAAAACTCCACTCATATACCCTATTAAAAATTTTTATCACTATTGAGTTTTTATTAAAATACTATCTAAATACAAATTCAAGTTTTGACCCACTCAAACACAAACTCAAATAGATTCTCAATTCAAATCATAACTCAAATGTGCACATTCAAACACAAACTCAAGTTACAACTTCAACTCAAATTATAACTTAAATTTAACTCAAGATCTACACTCAAGTTATCATAACTCAAAAATACAACCGAACAAGTCCTTTGTTCTAAAGGGTTGTACCAATCTTTGCAGAGGTTTTGATTAAATTCTCCATTTGCTTAATTTTTATTATTTTTTAATAAAATGGTTATTACTATTGATTTAATTAAAGTTTAGCACTTTTTAATTAAGTTTTAATCACATAACCTGTCAACATTCGGTTTGAATCATTGATGGAATTAGACAAAATGAGTAATTTGATATGTTTTTTTATAGATCAGGAATATTTTGAACTGTTTCGAAAAATCAAGACTTTGAAACAAGGTAGATACTTTGGGAGTATTTATGAAAATATTTAATCATTGTATCATTATTAAAAATATATAAAATTTGAATATAAAATCACAATAAGGGAAAAAAAAGAGAGTTTTAGACAAGAAGCCAAAAAAAAAAAAAAAATAAAAGTCTAAAATGAATAAATAAATAAAAATAAGTGTAAAGGGACAAAAATGAAAAAATTAACTTTTAGGCCAAAAATAAAAAAAAGAGTAAAAATAGACCAAAATGAAGAAATAACTAAGTCTCTGTTTGTTTCAACAATTCAAACTGTTGTTTAGGATTCAAATTGATGTTTAGGAGAGGAAAATTCAAGGACAATTTAAACAATTAATAATGGTTCAAACCCTTGATTTTAGAATTCACGATCACCCTTAAATTCTAACAATCCTAATTATTTTCTATAATGAAAACAATTCTGATTCTACTTTTTCCCTATCTTCAATTCCAAGGTTAAAAAATGTCATAACTTCTTTATTTTAATTCGATTGAGATGATTTTTTTTAATGTGTTCATAATATAGAGAGGAACAAATCTTCATCCATATTGCATATTTTTAGATGTCATTTACAACGAGATTTTATAAGATTTGTTACAAAATTCTAGTGACAATTTTCAACATTTTATCCAAATACAGTTCGAATTTTATTTCCAATTCAAATTACAATTTATTTTTATATCTAAACCCCAGTTTGAATCACAATTCAATTCACCACTATTCAAATCACCACAACTAAAACCAAATCAACAATTTGAATCGTTGAACCAAACAAGCCCTAAGTGAAATTTCAAGACAAAATAAAAAGGGTAAAAAAGACATATATGAAGAAATAAAGGAGTTTTAAAGCAAAAAAAATGAGAACGAAAAAAATAAACTATCATGGAAAAAATAAAAAATGGTCAAAATGAAGAAATAAAAAAATTTTAAGACAAAAAGATTATAATGAAAAATAAAATAAAATTTCAAGGTAAAAATAAAAAAAAAGTCTAAAAAGGGCTAAAATAAAAAAAAATAAGTTTTAGGGTAAAAATAAAGTAAAAAGAAAAAAATGAAATTTCAAGATAAAAATAGAAAAGACTAAAAAAAGACTAAAATGAAGAAATAAATGAGTTTTAAGGTAAAAAATAAAATAAAAAAATAAAGTTTCATGATAAAAATAAAAAAAGATAAAAACAAAATGAAGAAATAAATAAGTTGTAAGGTAAAAATAAAGTAAAATTCAGGAAAAAGAAAACATAGTAAAAAAGGACTAAAATGAAAAAAAAAATAAGTTTTAGGTTAAAAATTTAAAAAATAATAAAAAAAGACTTAAAAAGGAAAAAGGAGAGGGGGTCACTTTTTCGAACAAAATGGTCAAAACGGCGACGTTTTGGTCGAAAAAGTGAAGTGGCGATTGCCACTTCTTACATGTAGATAGATGGACACAGAGATAGACTGTCTCCAATGTAGCAATATGCTACCGTCAGTAATTTAGTAGACTACCACCACCAGGCTGTGATACTATAAGGACGTTATTAGCATTTCAGATTAATTTTTTTAGGAGAGTATTTCAGATTTGTTATTGTATTGTTATTGTCCGTTTTGTGTAGTCGCCCTCCTTATTCTTAATAGAATAGAATAATTTTTTTTTTATAAAAAAATCCTCCTTCTTTGTTGTGCTGAATGCTGATTTTTTTTTTTTTTTGGGTTGGTTAAATACATGTGGACAGAGAAACCGGACGCCAAGTTGGGCCGAAGCCAATTGGTACCGAAACGACGCCGAATGAATTCACAAAAGCGCCTTTGCGTGAAGTTCATGCCACCTTCTCTATCTCACCCTGCGGTGACACCGTTTCTTGGTCCACCTACCACGTGGCGCGAGATGATGAGATCAGTACCCTATCTTAGCGAGCCGTCACCGTCAGATTAGCTCGCCACCAAATGCGAAGAAAGGGCCTCCACAATTTCAAGTCGCAGCCCTCTTCTTTCAACTAAAGTCTAAAGCCTATCATCTCCTCTACTTCTCTCTCCTCTCCTTCTCTCTCTAGTGTTTGAGCCCTAGATTTTCTCAGCCTTTCTCGCACTTTCTTCTCTATTTGTCATCCGATATTTGTTCGACAAAAATGGTGAGCGGTTTTTCACTATCTTACTCTCTATTTTCTGTTCTGTCTTTTTTTTTTTCTTTTTAAAAAAATTTTCTGTTCTGTTGATTTTGATTTTATGTTTAATCCGTGATGTTTTGGTATTCGATCTATGAAATTTGTTGCATTCGATCTAGGTTTCTTTTGCTTGATCAATGTGGTTTTTTCTTTTTCTTTTGTTTTCGGGCATGGAAGATAGGGATTTTGTCCACGAATCTCTTGATTTTCAATCCCAACCGTCCGATGGTTCGGTATTTGCTCACCGGATTGATCGTCTAACGTATGAATTGTGTTGGACCTCAATTGTTCGGCCAATTGTGCTTTGCATGTTGATTTGAGTTAGTTTTTCCGTCTATTTTAGGGTTTGCAATTTATGTGTTTTTTGCGGATGTTGTTGTGTAAGTAGATTATTTATGCTTATGACTCCGCTATTATTGTATAGATATTTTTGAAAAACGGGATTTTGCTTGATTTTGCTGTGACTAATTGGGCATTTTGATTATTTAGATTGGGAATGATACCAGGTTTGGGGCTTTATATGAAAAGAATTTGATCTAAGTGGGACAAGTCAAATATTTGATTTTAAGTAGCAACATGATATGAGGAAAAATATTCATTCTGAATCGGGATTTGACCACAACTATCAACTACTTATTAAAACCACTAGTGATTGATGACAAAAAGAAAAATTCAACTTCCTTTTGAGTGTTGTTCGATTTTTTTTTCTGCCTCCGTTGATGGGTTACTTTTGTTTATGCAATAACTGGGGATGAATTTATTTGTACTTGGCGGAGAATATAATGCTTATAATTGGATTTGGACTTTATTTGGTTATTGAGCCCCCCCCCCCCCCCCCCTCTTTTTTTTTGTTTTAATATACATTTGTAGGCAAACGCAGCATCAGGGATGGCTGTGCATGATGACTGCAAGCTTAAGTTTTTAGAATTAAAGGCGAAAAGAACATACCGCTTCATAGTTTTCAAGATTGAAGAGAAGCAAAAGCAGGTTATAGTGGAAAAGCTTGGTGAACCAACTCAGAGCTATGAAGATTTTACCGCAAGCCTTCCTGACAATGAGTGCCGCTATGCTGTCTATGACTATGATTTCATCACTGAAGAGAATGTCCAGAAGAGCAAGATTATTTTCATCGCCTGGTAACCGGTTTTTGTGGTTTCTAGCATTGTTCTATTCCAAATATATATATTTTTGGCGGGGCTCAACAAAGTTTTCTTTGATTGTTATACTTGTTTAAGGTCTCCTGACACATCAAGGGTGAGAAGCAAGATGATTTACGCGAGCTCGAAAGACAGGTTTAAGAGAGAGTTGGACGGAATTCAGGTAGAGTTGCAGGCTACTGATCCAACTGAGATGGGCCTTGATGTTTTTAGAAGCCGCTCTAACTGAATGTAAAGCGTGAAACTATGCAATGGAGAATCCTCCCTACTATCTGGGTTTCTTATGTGAAATATCCATACTTTATGGAAACATGAATTTATCTTCCTATAATATTGGTTTATGACGTGATTTGTAATGTGGATTTATTGGTACCTGATTTTGGTGTCATATACAAACTAATATCATATGGTGCTTTGTTATAGTTTACTGTTTGTAAGAGGTTGAAATCTAACTTTTCTTCCTCGTTAGAAATCATTTGTGGTTTTTGCTTGAAAATTGGATGGAATCCGTTTATTGTTGAAGAAAACCTCCCAATGTAGTTTTGCATAAAGATTTCGAAGTTTTATGCTTTGCTTCTATTTCAAACCATTTTGTGGGGCTATGATAGGGGTGGCAATTCGTGTTGGCGGGTTGTGTTCGTGTTGTGTTGACCCTCTCAGTTGACACGAACACGATCCGTTTATTAATCGTGTCGAAATACAAAATCCAAACACGATTTGTATATTGGCGGGTTGACACGATACGAATAACCTGTTTATTAAACAGGTCATAAACGTGTTGTGTCAACCCGTTTATAAAATTGGTGATAAATGGGTCTTGTTAATCTATTTTTGAATTTATTTTTGAACCTATTTATAAAATAGGTGATAAATGAGTCGTGTTAGGCTATTTTTGAATCTATTTTTAAACGTTTATAAAATGGGTAATAAACGGGTTGTGTACCTAAATATGACACGTTTAATAAATGGGTTATGGTGGGTCAACCTGAAAATGATACGTTATTTAATCGTGTTTCACGGGTTCGACCTGATTTTGATCCGTACTTATTTATGATAAACTCAAACTCATTAATTTCGTGCGGGTTTCGAGTCGTGTCACTATCCGGATTGTCAGTCTTTTGATGTATTTACTTCTGGCGTATGCAAAACCTTTTCCTTTCCATGTATCAGCCAAGTATTATCCAATTCCCTCCTTACAAGTCTGGTTTAATGAGAAATAATATGGTCTTTTTTAAACTTGCTGTTATTTTCTCTGTTTTTGCTTCCTTTAGTTTGCTTTCCTCTCTGTTTAAACGTACATGCAGTTGCATCTTAAACACAAAGAAGCGATTTTAAATCTTCGCGGAATATTCAAGGTCTTTATTATTATTATTATTATTATAGACTGGAAGGTATATGAGGAAACGGGAAAATCTAAAGAAAGAAGTGAGAAAAAAGCGATGAAGCCTTAAAGATTGTTCTCTTTATAGTACAGTACCTTGGTGGATTGTTGACAAATATGTTTTCGTTGAAGAACTGACTATTTTTTCCTTTTACAATGGTCATGTGAAAATGAAACATACACCAATTAAAATCTTCCACCGAGCTTGATTTTTTTGTCTTCCAATTTATTCGGGCTACAAAACTCTGGAATTTAATCCGGACACAGGAAAAGATTCGTTATTTGTAAGGTGCGACCACTATGTATAAATGATCAACTAATAGGTGTTTGTTGGTGATCCATTTTGGGTTCGTATCTTGTACTGAGATAATCAGACTCTTCAACCTACTTTATCAAGGAAAATGAAGCAGCGAAATCACCTTTGTGCATGTAAAAGACTGATTTCTGAGGCACAAAGGAAAGGCCAAAAAATATTCTTATCTATCAGAGATTTATGTTTAAAATAGACAAAACTATTTCTGTAAACGAATTACTGCACTATGTATAGTCTCAATTCAAGAAGACATAGCAGTTCATGAGTGAAAGAAATCAAAGATGACCATTTCCCGAGACTGAGGCATCTTTCTCAAGTGGTTCCAGCCAAGTGTAGAGAAAGCTTCTCTCTCAGAATCGAGGCAGACTTGTCGACGGATTCACAACATTGTTGTCGGTAACCAGAATCATGATGGTGTGAGAAGGGCATTTCATCTTGCATCTCATCTTCCATGTCGATAATGATGTTGTGGAGTATGCAGCACACAAGAATGATCCTTGGCAATCTATGCCTATCAGGCTTCCACATGACTCCATGAATTATCCTCCACATCTCCTTCAACCTTGCCAATGCCCTCTGTGCCACCATTCGTGTGGCATAATGCCGTTTATTAAACTCGGCCTGAAAATCTGATAGGCCTCGTCTAGGGTATGGGGTTAGCAGCCATGGCAAAAGAGGAAAACCTGCATCTCCTACTATGTATTCTCTTAACTCTGTTCCTTCCGAGAGAACTATCTTCTTCCCATTCAACCTCTCCCCATCTTCGGACAATTTGAAAAAACCCGAGCTTTGGAGCACAATGGCATCACTCAAACTTCCTGGCCATCCAGCAATTACGTTGCGGAATCTCATTTCCGGATCAACGATTGCCTGTAAGATCATGCTGCTGTTCTTTTCATAGTCAATCCAGACATCATTATCTGGGTGCACATTAGGAAGAGTCATCATGATGTGTGTGGTATCAATTGCACCGCAACAATTTGGAAGACTGCGGATTTTCTCAAACTTGGACTTTATTATTTCCATCTCTGCTTCAGTTGAAGGCCAACAGAGATGGTGGAGTCCTCTTTCTTCCATTGCTTCCACAAACCGCCAGGTTAACTGAGAAACTGTTGACTGATTCATCCCAAATGAGTCACCAACAATAGACAATGAGTCGCCTGAGCTTAGCCTCCGAAGAGCAACAGCTACTTGGTCATTCAAAGACAAAGGGTTCCCTTTATAATCAAAGTACGAGGTTTTAGCCAACATATCATCCTTTACGAGTGAGCAGATGTAGCTGAATGTCTTCCTTGAAATTTTGAAAATGGATTCAAATGTCATTGTCTGAGACAAAGGCCCTGCAGAGAGGAAAACAAGAATATTATAGTTCTTTCAATATAACTCTCATATATATATATATATATGTTAATATATAGCAAAACTAAACACGAGGAAAGCCTCGGCTACACAGGACATAATTCTTAGATTCATATGAAGTCCATACTATAATCAGAGAGAGTTAACTTGCAAACGAAGATAAGAGTAGAACTATAAACCAGAGTAGTTATAACAACTTTTATCAAGATTCCAATGCAACTAATTTGCATATGAAAATTTTTCAGTCAAAACTGTAAAGTAGTTACACAATCACTTTTTCAGTTAATAACTAGAATTATTAGTAACAATATTCAATTATAAGCATGTAGGTAGACTCGGAAAGACATAGTAAAAGCAGCTAAAACATAAAAACTGAACTGCAGCCAAATAATACCACTATCTTGTTTCTCTTCTACTACTTTGGTTAAAAAATTTCTTTTTTGGCATTAACCTCTAAAAATGCGTGACCATAAAGAATATAGATCTGCGTGGTAGGTACTTAATGTCTCTCTTCCACTCTTATCAGATCAGATACAATTTCCTGATAAAGATATCTCTGGACAAACATAGTTGAGAAGCATAAGCAGATTAAAATTTTCTGGCTAACATTTTTTGCGCATAACAATACCAACACGACTAAAATCTGCCAGTATTCACCTTACAAGGAACACGTTAGTAATATCCATGGAAGCACAATAATCTGAGTTTTTCATTGTAGAGTGTCCCACACATGAATTAATGTGATCGTGTTCAAAGGCAACATTATCTGATTATTTGAACTGGTATGAATTATCCAGCATTATTACTGAAAATCAATAAGAAAACTAGTTGTATCTTAATGTTAGGATTTGCATAATTCTGCATAAACAAACTTACATGAGATATACTTATTACTTCAAATGAATGGAAGCAAATCCAAAGAATCCCATACAAATTGTCGTACAATTCTTTGTAACATAATTATTAAGGTTAAGAAAAATAAAAAAAAACATTTTGTTTGGGATTATTGTATAAACTTATCTTGATTGAACATGACATATATCACACAATCACATCACAAAAATCAGTAGGGTAACTAATAACAGAGGCAATCTCGGTTTTCTTTCTCTGCTTTCTAACACGTTCACTATGTAGGTCACGAAATAAGGGGTTTCAGAAGCCAGAAATAACAAGAGTATACGAAATTAAAACACAAAAGCAAATATGATTCAAAATGAATTTATATATGTGGAAATCCAACGAATATTAAAAACTTAGACAGACCCTTTACACTAAATTTTACCTAGTACAAGAAAAACCAGAATAGACATTCTTCCAGTCACCACAAATTCCCAACCATTCACAATATCAACGTATGCCATAAACAAATCAAGAGAAGGTAAGAAAAGATATATAAATTATAACACATCGCAGAAAGAACGACTTTCCCCTAAAATCACCACATAGGAAGGCAACACCAAGACTGCATTGACCCAGGTCCTAAAATCTCATCAAAAACAAAGAAATCCCAACAAACGACAAAGCCAATACTCATCAAAACCAATATATATAATCCCACCAACTAAACAATAATACCGCATAAAAATGCACATCATAGAAGTGAATAAAAAGCGTTTTACCAGTAATCCTGCGAGAGAAGTCGTCCCACCAATCCAGAGGCTGAAGAAGTTGCGAGCCAAGAGAAGCAACAAACGCATTCTGGTCAACCTTCTTCTCAGCCTTATTATTCTTCTTCTTCCTCTTCAACCCTCTAGTGGGTCCCATTTGAAGAACTCAGAACGAACACAAGGCAAGGCAAGGCAAGGCAAAGTAAAGAAAGAAAGAAAGAAAGGAAGAACGAAACCGACCCAACCCCAGGAGTGCCGTCAACAAGCAAGAAAATTAAAGAATTCCAAAGAGTGACATGGAAAACCCATCAATCGTAAGCCTCAGATTTAACAAAAGGAATACAAACATGTATATACATGTGGAAGGAAGAAATAGAAAATGGCCTTTTTTTCTCTTTCTTTTTTCTTAGGTGGGTTAATATATATGAGATGAAAATGAAAGTGTGTGTATGTATTCTGGGTGTGCGAAGTGTTCCTTTTTGTTGGATTTCAACGCATGCAAATAATAACTCCAAGAATATATATATATATATATATATATATATGTGTGTGTGTGTGTGTGTGTGTGTGTGTGTGTGTATTTGGGTCTATGTAATTGTGTGTGATCATGAATATAGGTAATATTTGGGAAATCATATATCGAATAAAACTCACATATACGAATATGTATGTAAGTGTACTATGTAATATGAATATTTAGAGGGGAACGAAAAGAAAATAAAATAGTAACATTTTGTTACATATTGAAAATCCCTAGTCCACCAAGACCACGAGTCCAAAAGTGTGTTATGTGTAATATACAGGCAATAACCTTTTTTTTAAATGTATATTTTATGATGTTCTATTGCTCTCTTCAAACAAATTACAGAAGTCATGCATTGAGTAAGTAGGGAAGATTGCAGGCTTGTAGCTTTCATGGATTCTTATTCCTTCATTAGCCAACCAAGTTTTTCTTTAATTTTCTTCTTCAATGGGAGGCCAAATGCGAAGCTAGCCATCCAAGTTAACATGTACTTACTTCGCGCGCATATAAATATATATATATATACACACGATTTATTAAGATCGATTTCTATTATTTGTTGTGAACCTGAATTAATTATGTCTCTTATCGGTTTATCAAATATGACTTGTTATTTGTTATATGACCGTTTAGTTAGGGGCATGAGGACACCACTAATGCATTTTTTTATTCAGCCAAAAAAAAAAAAAAGAGAGTAAAATATATGTTAGACAATGTCAAATACAAGTGCCGATACCAATTTTATATTTGACACTATAAAGTGTGAAAAATAACATATTTTATGTGCTATTCTATTTTGTATTCCAATGTATAATGTTATTTTAAATGCTATAATTATTTTTTTTTCAATTACTGTTAAACTTTAGAACTTGCAAAAATACTTTTAATTTTTAAACGCAATAAGGCAATAACAATTAAACGCCAAAAATTAGTATATGCCATGCTTGTTGTCCAACTTGATACTAAGTACAACATATGCTAAATTTTGCACAAAATAACATTGCACTATGGAGTGTTTTCAATGTCAAACATATTTATTTTGACATTGTATTAAAAATTCTCTTTAACCACAAAATCACATTGGTTTGATGTTTGTTGGTATAAGAGCAACTTAGATCCATCATTTAGCAACCAATGCAATTAACTAGTGCATTACTCGTTAACAATCCATACAATATAATAGGTAAACTAATTTGTTTTGTGGATGTTCAACATATAGTAAAACAGTGAAACTTGTGAGCTCAGATCATTGGAATGGTCACAGTATTATTTCAATTTTTATTCATCATTTCAAAATTCAATGCAGCTATTGAAAACTAACAATTCATTCTTATATTTCTTTGGGTATCGTCTTCTATCTCCTCCTGAGCTCCGTTCTTGACCTTTTCACCGTTTGAAACCAGCACAAAGTATTCTCTCTAAAAACAAGCACAATTTATATTGGAAAGTAAAACACAAAATAGCAACAAAAATACATACTCTCTTATTTTATTATTTTCAGGTGAACATTAAAAAGAACGTTTCTTCCTTCTCCTCTTGTATTTTTTTCGCTTTGTTGTTGTGCATTAATAACACTTTCTTTATCCTTTTTATCCCCTTGTGTGTGTGTGTGTGTGTGTTTTTTTTTTTTTTCCTCGGTTTCATTGTGTTTTAACATAATCTTGTCCAATATACAATGGATAGAAATTGTCTTCCCAATAGGTTGCACTGTTCACTTCGCTGATTCGAGTTTAGAATTCGAGTTTTTCTACAGTAAAAAGCTCTCACAAACAATCACATCTAACTTTTTTACTACAGTAAAAAACTCTCACATAAAATCACATCTCAACTCAAATTACAAACTTAAATCAGTGAAGTGAACGGGTACATCTTACTACAGAATTTATTGTCATTTTTTTTTTTTGCATAAGTTTTTTCTGTGCTGACTTTTTAATTAATGTTTTTTTGTGACTTTTGTCTATCTATTTTGTTGTTTTGCATTTTATAGTGGTGTCACTCTTTTTGTCGTTTGTAGTTTATTGCCATTTTTCAATTCAATTGCCGTTTTTCATTTGTTTTCTTATCATATTTCAATTGTCGCTTTTAGTTCATTGGCCTTTAAAATACTTTTGCCTTTTCGTCTTGTCATCGTTTTCATTCTTTTTTTCTTTAGTTTTATTTTCCTTTAGTGTCGTATTTCCTATTGTTGGCGTTTTCTCATTTTGCTGTTTCCGTTTGATTGTCGTTTTCTAATTTATTATTTTTAGATTATTATCACTTGTGCCCTGAATTTTGGAATCATTTCTGATTTGCCTTCTTTAAAAACTTTGACTTTACTCTCTAAATTTTGAATTAGTCTCATTTAAGCCCTTTTTGTAGGAGTTTTTGTTAAAATCAGACTGAAAAAAGGTTAAGTATAGTCATGTGATTTTTATCCGTTTGCTCTTAATAGAGATTCGAATAGAAATACTATGTGACTAAATTATTCTATCTATTTTTAACACAAATTCTAACATAAGGGGTTAAGTGAGAATAATTTAAAATTTAGTGAGCAAAATGAGAGTTTTTAAAATTCAGGAGACAAACTCGGAAGGATCCTAAAGTGAGAGTTTTATGTCGGGCCCGTTCACTTCGCTGATTCGAGTTTGTAATTCGAGTTGAGATGTGATTTTATGTGAGAGCTTTTTACTGTAGTAAAAAAGTTAGATGTGATTGTTTGTGAGAATTCTAAACTCGAATTGGTGAAGTGAACGGGGCCGACGTTATTTCACCTTTCATTTAATTTTTTTTTTTATCATTTTTGCTGAGTATGTCTTTTTAATGTTGTTGTCATCTAATCATATTTCCGTCGTATGCCAACATATTATTGTATTATTTGTTTGAGAAATTGTATTAAATAGGCTAACTTAAAAAAGCTGTCGAAGTAAATAGGCCATTTATTAATGATTAGAAATTTATAGGCCATTCTTAGTTTTAAATTGTTTATTTCCCAGTTTTACCCTAGTTTTCATTTTTATTTTTTGTTTTTTATTTTCTCATTTTCTTGTTATCTTTGCCTCCCTCTCTCTCCCTATTACACTTTCTCTCTTTCTGCTCTCTCTCTCTCTCCGGTTTCACTCCTCCTTGTTTCTCTCTTCTGACGGCGGCGTTCGCATCCAACAAATGAGATGCTCGACGGTGTGCAGATCAACGCTTTGGAGAGAGAGAGAGCACGGCAGAAGAGGGAGAGAGTGGCGGAGGGGGGAGAGAGAGAGAGCGGCGGAGGGAAGAGATAGAGAGGCTGATAGTTTCAGTGAGAGAGTGAAGAGAGAGGTCGGTGAGAGAGAGAGAGAGAGACAAGTATTAGGATTTTGAGTGGAATTCTCATTTAAGGGTATTTTTGGAAATTTATTGTTTATAAATCTAGATTTACGTTATATTGGCATATTTATTAACTTTTCTAAAACTTAACCTATTAATTTTAATTCCTTCCAAATGTTGGCCTATTTCCCTCCATCACCCTATTTGTTTCTATATTTATTTATACTTTCTTTCCAAAAAGCATTACAGGTAAATGCTATAAGTAAATGTTTTTACCATTTCTTTTCCTTATTTAAGTGGTCTTTCTTGAAGTTTTATTGGGAAAAATGAGAAATGGTAGTAAATAGGGATTTTTGAAATTAAATTAAGTAAATAGGAGATTTCAACACTATTTTAAATAAATAACAATTTATTGTGTAAATGTGTAGGGCTGTTCATAAACCCGAACAACCCGCAAACCCAACCCACCCTGCCCCAACCCAAGCCGAAAAAAGCAACCCACAACATTATTTTTAAATTTGCGGCTCATTATACCTCTGGCCCGAAGTGTTTGGGGCGGATTACAGGTTGGGCCCATAACAACCCGCAATCCCTAACCCAACCCGCACAACATACCCCTAAGCTTTTGGCCTAAGCCGAACTGCCTAAGTTCTACCTCACTAACATTAGGGTTCACAATCTCATTCTCGGTCTCCCCTCCCGTGAACCCCCTCTTCTTGCCTCTTCCTTTTCAGTTTTCCCTCTTCTTCCCCTCCCGTGAACCCCCTCATAACTCTCTCCTCATTGCTCAGTCCTCTCGGCCGCCGTCTTGCCCACTTTCTCCGGTGCTCTCTCGCCGGACTGATAAGGATGGTTACTATTTCTATTTAATGATGAAGTTTGAATATTATATTGAACTTTAAGTCTTTAATTTTTTGAATGTTGAAACCGACCACCCAACCCACCCCGCACCGCCCCAACCCAACTCGAACATCGTTGGGTTGTGAAATTTTTCTAACATCGTTGGGCCTAAATATGTGCAACCCGCACCCTTTGGGGCGGGGAAAAAAATCCTACCCCGCACCAACCCAACCCATGAACAGCCCTATAAATGTGTTATTTATTACTGATAAAAAATCTTTATTTACGTAGAAAAACTATTTTTAGCAGTCATAAAACGTAAATTTACATAGAAATTTTTTTTTACTAATCGTAAATGAAACATTTATGCGATAAACTATTATTTACTTAAAATAGTTTTAAAATATATTATTTACTTAATTAATTAATTTCATAAATATATTATTTACTACGTACTCTAGATAAAAATGAAGGAGATTTATCCCATCAAAGTTCAAACCACTCGTTTACTTTTTCGATCCAAATAAAGGTTTAAATTAGGTTCATGGGTTCAACCTTTAAACCTTAATAACCCATAAATTAAGGCTTCGTTCACTTTGCGGATTCGAGTTTTCAATTCGAACTTAAATGTGATATTTTATGAGAACTTTTTACTGTAGTAAAAAAAGTTAGATGTGACATTTTCTGAGAATTTTTTACTATAATAACCTAAAACTGAAAACTCGAATCGGTGAAATGAACGAGACCTAAATCTGTTAATAACTGTTATCATTAGTTCAAATTTGATTCTTCTCTCTTCTATCTAGTTTTTAATTTCATATAAGATATGTTTGAAAATGTGTGTGCCTTTTTTTTAGGACTACAGTACAGTATGTTACTAATAACGAATTTTTTTAACGACATATGACTGAAAAGTATTGTTCTTAGATCACAGTTTCATGGAACTAAAAATGGTCTCAAACACATCAGATATAACCTTTTCTATGTAATTAGAAAAAAGCAAAAAAAAAAAAAAATTAAGAAAAATCGGGTAACTCAGGCCGCCACTACTGCAAAGCACGGCGATGGATCACAAAAATCGCGATCGCCGTCTCCTCCACCGCACGATCTCCTCCTCCGGCGTGATCTCATTCTCCACCGCAGCTCGATCTCTTTCTCCTCTGACACGATTTGCACGCGAGATTCCTTCCCCTTATCGACGATGACGGCCGCGACACTTTGAGTTTTATTACAGTAAAAAATGTTTATTTTCTAGTATTTATCATTAATGTTATAATACATTAATTAATAATTATAACTAAACAGAAATACCATTTTTTATTAGAGTAATTTGTACAAATAATTCTTAACTTTTAAAAAAAAAATAACAATTTAATCCTTAATTTTTTTTTAATAAAACTACCGCGATCTATGTAAAAAAGTATAATCTTGACCTCGTTCACTTCGTTCGCTGATTCGAGTTTAGAATTCTTTTAACTTTTTTACTGCATCATTCCTGTCATATTTTCTTAAATTTTTAACATAATTAATGATCGGAAAGCATGTAATCTTGTTAAAGAGGGTCTCTCTCTCTCTCTAGATTTCACAGCCATGAAGCACTTCATGAAGTCTCTCTCTCTAGATTTCGCAGCCATGAAGCACTTCATGAAGTCTCCGGCCTCGCCAACCCTAGCGCAGTTAAGCCCCGGCCGTCGTGGAAGCAGAGGGGCTCTAAGGAGAATACTCCGCTATCAGATCTGAACTCGTTGCCCCCGATTCTGAAGCACTCGCCGGCGATCTCCGCAAAAGACTCAAATTGTATGCCTTTGCTTTTAGCCGCCTATTAATCTCTCTCCAAACCATTTTCTCCGGTAAAGTACATGAGCCTTTTTGGGTTACTCTCAACAGATTAGGATTTCCATAGGAGAGGAATTTTGGGGCAAAGAAAAAAGTTGAAGTTGCAGTGGCTAACCGGAATATGAAGGAAATCCTTGACGCCAAGACTCTCGTCCAATGGAAAGTCTTACAGTATATATACAAAGTTGCTTGTAATGTATTGTATATTATTAATGGAATTACAACATCTTCTAGTCTTGTATAAATACTGACAGCAACATATCCTTTCTGTTTGCTTTGGTAAATTCTTCTGATATCATCTATTCTCTGCTCCTGCCACGACTGCCGCCGTTGAACCCTCTCAGGAGAAAGCTGAGCTGGGAGACAGTTCCCGAGAACTCCATAATTGGAACCTACGAATCTGGTTCATGCTGGTAATCTCTTATTTCAGTTGGGTTTTTCGCGTGGGCTGCTCAAAAGGAGCATCAAGAAGAAAAATCACCCATTGGAGGTCAGATCATCGGGGATGGGGCTCGTCGGTCTGGGTTGGTCAGGGATGAGGCTCGCCGGAGGCGGAGAGGAGGAAGAAGAAGGCCATGGGTGTGAGGTTTTGATGACATTTTTGTCTTTTAATTGAAAAAAGAAGGCAACTGATATGCGAGAATCTGTTAAAAATTTGACAAATATGATTAAATTATACTTTTTTAAATTGGTTAGGGGTAGAATTGTTAAAAAAAAAAATTAGAGATTAAATTGTTATTTTTTATAAAAAGGTTAGAGATTATTGTGCAAATTATCCTTTTTATTATATACAAAATAATATATTAAAAATTTAATTAAACGTAATTTTAAAATCAGTTTCAGAATAATTTTAAAAATAATCTCATTTTTATTTTTATATTAAAAATAAAATAAATTTAAAAACGTTACTAAATGGGTCCTTATTTTTTTTCTTTTTTACATATCAATTTAATAATTGTTCCAAGTTTTATAAAATTAAAAAAAATAATCATTTTTAAGAAGTGGTCTATCATTGATTGGATTAATTGGCTAAGTGATTTAATAGTCAATAACTGACTGAACGATATAATAAGTATTTAATTAATATCACTCAATGATTTATGGATCAATCATTAATTGACTAAAAACGTATTTTCTTAAAAAAAAAAATTGTACCTGATATTTTAAAAAAGCATAGATAAAAACATCAACCTCACCTAATTATTTGAGAAATTAAATAGTATATTTATGAAACTAAATTAATAAAATAGTAGATTTTAAAACTTTTAAAAGTAAATATCAGTAAAACATGTAAATATTTTCTTCAACGATTGGGAAAAAAATTTATTTACGTGAAAATTTTTTTTACCGGTCATAAAAAAAAATTTACATGAAAAAAATATTTTTATTAATTGTAAATGAAATATTTTCATAATAAATTGTTATTTACTTAATTTACTTCCATAAATCTGTTATTTATTACATTTCCCTTTCTCTTTCATATATTGCTCTACAAGTTCTCTAAACCCTTTAATCATTGTCGAAAATCCTAAGCGAAAAGACCATTCAACACAAGTAATTTCATGAACATCACCTTGTAAAATAAGTTCAAAATTGATAGACGAAATAGAAGAACTAATTTTGTTAAATTCTGTTTATCAAAAAAAAAATTTCTAGCCTCATACGATACAATAGATGAAATGAGCCATGTTCTATTACAAGAAACAAATTTACTTCCATGACTAAAGTCTCCTTAAACAAATTAGCATTTTCTATCAAATATTTCATCCCTACTCCTTACTCTTTATTGGCTCGCAGTCTTTTATCCTAGATCCACACTTGATCAGCTGCATCAGAACCGTTGAGGCCTTTGTCCTCCCGCATTCACGAGCATTCTCAGCCGTCCAATCCTTTCCACACCGGTCATCAACTTCCATTGACACTTTCAAACTCTCCAGCCCACCAAAAGCACCATCCACCTCTGCAGCCTCAGCCATGCTTGTTCTTCTCTGCCTCGCCCTTTCGTCGGCCTGCTGCATCAACGCGCTGGCTGCTTTCTTGGAGGTTTTAGGCCCGTTGACGTGGTACTCACGGACGTCATCAACTGACCCGCATGACTGATTTTTCCTTCTGGTGATCGTGGTTGGAGGAGCAGTGAGATGTTCCTCGCCCGGACTTTTTGTTTCCCGCGAAAACATGGAGGATGATGATGATGAGAATGATGAACCGGTGCTTTCCAAGGACCTAAAGCTTAAAGAAGTAGGTTCAAGGAGTTGTGATCCTTTGAGGACGTATTCATGGCCTTGGCATGGATATATGAAGTCGTCCTCGGATAAGTCCTGCCACACAAAGCTGTTTTTGTAGCTCCTGAAAAATGAAAAACTCTGTTTGGTTCACGAGAAATGGAGTGGTAAAATAAGAGAGAGAGAGAGAGAGAGAGAGAGAGAGCAAAAAGCAAAGGGAAGAGAAGTTAGGGAAGTCATTGTTAAGTGATGGAGCCTTATTATCTTGCTGATGTTGAGTTAGCAAAGGGTGTCGGTTTTGGGAATTAGGTTATAGAGAAACAGAGTGTGAGAGGTATGAGGTGTGATTCTCTTTCGATTCCTTTTTTTTTTTTCCCCCCCATTCTAGTGAAATTCTGAAGCCGCTGAAAATGGACGTTAACTCTTACATTAAGTATGAATCACTATGAATTTTATGTGTGTTTTTTTATCATTCTTTTTATTATTGCTCAGGGCGACTAATTCATAACACTGCCTATGTTATCTCTAGTTTTTCTCTCAGAAAAACATAGGAATTGCATTGTCGAAACTTTACTTACCGCTTTGAAGACCAGGAATACATGTTGGCAAGGCCTTGTCCTCTGAGAGAACCCAACCTACTTATGACATCTAAAAGGAGAAACCACAAATTATTGTACTCAACAGTAAGTTATATAATATATAAATAAATATTAATGTACAATTATATCATATATTCAGCATAATATGCTTCATCAGTGGTCTTTTTTTTGGGGGGGGAATTTACCTTTGAGATAGAGTCCTTGAGGAGAAGAGAGAGGAACCACCATGAAATGAGGATGTTCAAGCTGGCCATTCCTGGAAAGATAGTAAATCACTGGAACTTTTTGATCTGTTTTTCTCATTGCCTTGGGTTCCATCCACGCTTTGCTTCTTTGGCTAGCAGCATTTTCTTCCATATCTTTCCATATCCTTGGCACTGAAATTTCTGCTTTTGCTTCTGAACTAACAGCCATTATTTGAAGACAGAGTGATTTAAAGAGACTGAACTGGGAAAGTTGGTTCCAAGCTGAACAGAAATGGAGACTCAAATAAAAGCTGAAGCTGAAATGTCAATGAAGTTCTCAGATATGAATTTAGGAACAAGAGGTGACTAGAAATACTAATATGAAGTGGGAAAGCAACAGATGAGAGGAAAGGGTGGAACTTTGTAATTTATAGAGGGAAGAGAACTTGGAAATGACAGAAAGTAAGGCCTTTGCTTGGCAGTACTACATTTGTTTCTGTGGCTGTGTCATGACTTGTGAGTATTATAATTGGGGTTTTAGGGTTTTGTCTGCCGAATTTTGATTGAATCGGTAAGCTACCCCTTAAACTAATAAATTTGACAAATTATTCCAGAATTTCAGGAAATGTTAGTAGAATGTCCTTAAATTGAGAAAGAAACGCATTTCATGAGATATGATGTGCTTTGATCGTCATCTAAAATTTCAGTCTTTCTTCAAACAATCTCATGTTAACATAGTGTGTTCAGTTGCGTTTTCAACCAAATTTTAGCATTTATGATGAATGTGGAGGCAATCTACCACTTTATTAAATTCTAAGAGATGGTTTGTCAAAATTAAAAGTTTATGGAGTAATTTTCCAATCGTGAAAAGTTTAAGCGCATAAGTGCTAAATACCATTGTATTTAAATCTCAACACTCCCCTGTATAATTGATGTTAATAAGATGTAAATATTCCATGGCAGTAGGTGTTGGGACCAAACTATGTCACGTCCCTTTAGTCATATTGACTATGACCATACAAGTTCACGGATGAAAGTGAAACTAGGACAAAGGTTCCATTTTCGATATAAACCAAGTCAAAAAGCAGTCCCGTGAAACCACAAGACTCGAATAAGGAAGATGAGATATCTTTGACAATTTCTTCACTTGTTACAAACAAAAATATGGGAATATCTAATTTACCAAAAAAAAAAAAAAAGTGGGAATATCTAGTAGACAATGTGCAAAACTCCAAGCAGAAATGAGAGAGAGCATGGCATTGAGCCATTGACCATACCATGCCCTCCAAAAGTCCGGCCATTACATGCCATCACATTACGACACTGCCTGCTTTGCCTCTACTTGTGTCCATATTTCTTGTGGTAATTTTCTTAATCTTGTGAATATATAAAATAAGAAATAATAACCAAAGTAACTCATGTATAATATCAAATAGAAAACGGTCACACTATTTGCAATACTAAATTCTTATAGAACTAAATTTAGTTTATCGAATCTTTATATTGTGGTTGTGTAGAAAACAAACATAGTGACCAAAACTCAAGAGTTATATAGATGATTCTAAGTCAACCCTTGTTCTGCCGGCTGAATTTAGTTAAGCAGGACTATAGGAACTCGTGGCACAGAGTCAAGAGACTGGTTAATAATAATAATAATAATAATAATAATAATAATATGAATAATAATAATAATAATATGAAGAATAATAATAATAATAATAATAATATGAAGAATAATAATAATAATATGAAGAAGAAGAAGAAAAACAAATGACAATGCAACATAATGCAGTTTGCTGCCGCTGCATGGCAATGCCCCTTCGTCCCATGCGCCTTGATATGAACGAAATTTTCGGGAAATTACTGAAGTTATAATTATCCAAAAAAAAAAAAAGGATGAAACTAAATATCAACTATATCAAGTAGCCGATTTTAAAGTATTCTCTCTGTTGATAGTGTCAAACAACTTACATAACTTTGATGACCAAACCAGAGAAACTATGAAACATTGCAGGTCAGAAAAAGAAAGCGTCATACTAAAAACCTCAATTATTAAGCAATAGACAACTCATTGCTAGTCTCTTCTTTTTTTCTTCCCTTGCGATGGAAACTCCTATAAGAGAAATAAAATGAGAAAAGACAAATACAAAAGCCCTTCAAAATTTTTGCTCGAAATTGGCTGCTTGGAAAATACCAACAGCACCTAGAGCTGTGTCTCTTCAGCTTGTCCAAATGACAACTTAACGAGTCTACAATACTGCTCCCAAAAAATTGTTACATGGTGAGATTTTTTCCCACCTATTTATAATGAAAAACCTTGGAAAGATGGCACGTCAGTTCAAGAACCAGCTGTTTGCTTCTTCGGACAATCAGAAGAAATATGGCCTTTTCCACCACACTCATAACATGTCCTCCTCTTGATCTTACCAGCACTAACAACAGGGGTCGACCCACTAATGGTATTGGCAGTTTTCATAGTTGTAGGAGCAGCTTCTGCAGTTGTAAGAGCAGTTTCTGTAGTTGGAGGATCAGTTTGGTTCTTCGGACAATCTGCTGTAGCATCTGTTGAACCGGCCGTTTGCTTCTTTGGACAATCAGAAGAAATATGGCCCTTCTCACCACACTCATAACACGATCTCCTCTTCATCTTACCAGTACTAACAACAGAGGTCGACCCGCTATTGGTATCAGCTGTTTTTGTAGCTGTAAGAGCAATTTCTGTAGTTGTAGGAGTAATTTGCTGCTTTGAAGAATCTGCTACACCAACCGTTGAACTGGCTGTTTTCTTCTTTGGACAATCAGAAGAAATATGGCCCTTCTCACCACACTCATAACATGACCTCCTTTTCATCTTACCAGTACTAGCAACAGAGGTCGACACGGCATTAGTATCAGTCGTTTCTGTAGTCGTTGGAGCAGTTTCTGTAGTTCTAGGCACAGATCTGGTATTGGTCTGCATTTTTTTAAGAGGGACTGCGCATCTAATCCTGGCAGGTCTTCCACACACAACCTTCTGATCCAACTTCAATGCCATTGTCAAAGAAAGACTATCTGAGAAATCTACGTGAGCATAGCCTCGGAATTCACCTGTTTCCTTGTCCATACCAAACCGTATAGATGATACTTTGCAGTCCGAGAAAAAATTCTTCAGTTTATCCTCTGTGATATCCCATGCCAAATTTCCAACATAGATTCTGTTGTAACCTTCCACAATTTCTGGGGCAAAGTCAGATTTTTTGTTGATTTGGTTTGCGTTGTAAGGTTGGATAGTCAGAAACAGCCCACCCCTGAGATATCAAAGTTACACATGCTTGCTGTGAGAATTGAGCAACAACAATAAATTTGTCAATCACGGAGAACATTTTTCATACTCACATGTCTGATCCATCCAGAGCCAAGGCTCGTTTTGCTGCAGCTTCAGTCTGTAGAACACTGAAATTGTCAGCTCAAAGCAGCGAGAAAAACCTATCTGGGCAAGACTATATTCCAAATCCAATAAGGTACTAAAGTTTTAGAAACTCCATCTTGATTCTCGGCTACTTTCACATTTTAGTTTCAGTTTGTTTCTCAAATAAAGAACCCAAGTTCAATCATGAAAAAGGCTATAGCCTATAGCAAAAATCTCTAATAAATGCAGTCAAGAATAGACTCCAAATTACATAATTTGAAATCCGCGAACTATAGGCCAAATCCTATTTTGGTCACTGACTTTTGAAACATCTCAAAGTAAGTCCCCAATCCACAAAGATGTTCCAAATTATTCATTCCGTTCATCATCCTACTGATAAAATCTAAATGGAACAAGGCATGGCTTCCTTCTTAACAGTCATGCCCTCACTTTCCTTATTCTGTTCAGATTTTAACAGTCAGGCACACGTAAGGACTAATTTGGGACAACATGATATATTTGGGAGTCATTTTGGGATCTTTCAAAAGTCATGGACCAAAATGAGACTTGGTTAATAGTTCTGGGACTAAAATAAGATTCACCCTAATTCAAATGTAAATCAATGTAATACTCATTTTTAGTTTTTACCTTAAAGCTAATAATGGAAATTCCTCTAAACTTTCCACTCTCCGGAAAGGTCATACAATCAACCTCAGTTATAGTGCCACATCCTTCAAAATAACTTCGAATGTCATCCTCAGTTGAGTAGAAAGGAATTCCTCCAACATAAACTTTTGTGGTAACATTACCATTTGCTTGACTAGAAATGACAAAAAACACGTACAATCAGCCCACATCGCACAGTTTAGGGGATAAACAAAAGCAGGAATAGAGAAACTCACGAACTGAGAAATCGAATTATAATTGAATACCAAAGAACAATGTAATCCCTTCTTCTCATATTCAATTTCGTCAAAACAAATTCAAGAGCCAGTCCAAAATCATCTACACTGCTGAGATATTAAAACATAGGCAAAGGCTCGAGTCCTTCACAACGGACATTCTACATGGTCCATCACGAAGGACATTCCTACGTGATACAAGATGTAACATAACATTTATTTTATGTAACCATTATTTTCCTAAGACCATTTTACGTAGTCTGAATGTCACGTTATATATTATATTGTAGGATTGATTATTCGTCAAGGATCGAAGACAAAACCATAAAACATAATCATTGGATTTAATTAAAATTGGAATAAGTTTCTCTCAACAAGCAAATTCAAGGCAACAAATATCATCCAAAAGCATCAAAACTAATCAGAAAATCAGACTAACCACCAACACAACCAAACCAATTTTAAGGAAATTAATCAGCAAACGAAAAAACTCAACTTGAGAAAATTAACATAATCTAAAAGTACCTATTAACATCATTCTTCTCATTCGGCTCCACAACCATTTGCTCTTCATTCCCAAGCTCTTTCCCTTCCTCATTCTTAGCCTTCTTCTTCTTACTATTTTTCTTCTTTTTCTTCTTTGTCTTGCTCTTCTTCACAACCCCATTTTCCTCCGACACCAAAACGACATCGTTCCCCTCCCTCTTCCTCTTCCTCTTCTTCCCCTCCGACCCACTTTCCTTCTTGTCTTCTTCTCCAAGATTATCGCCATTTACGGGCTCCAAACCTCGCAAAGAGAAGGTTTCTCGGCGTTTCTCTCGCTTTGACAATCTGGGTCTCTGAGTTGATGAGTCCAAAAGCAGTTTCAGAGACTGGGTTTGTGATTCTGTATTCAAATCAGCTTTGGCTACTGATTCTGATAAAGATTTGGCTAGCTCTGCTCTAAGCTTTTGCTTCAGCTTTTTGTTCGATAAAACCATTTTTGCTTTTTTTTCCTTCTCTTCCCCGTAATGGGTTCTTCTCCGAGAGTCGCTCAAAGACACAGGTTTTGCGAAATGTGGTTTTGGGAAACGGAGGTTTTAGACGGCACCATACAAAAGCCGCACAAGATTATCCTCCGCGAAGCGCGACATGTCGTTTTATAAAACGACGACTACGTGTTCTTTTATTTTTCTAATCGGTGCGTTTACAAACTTTTGAATAAATTGTATGTCGTCTTCAAAAAATATGAACGACATCAATTGTTAATGAAAATTATGACTGTGTTTGAAATTAATTTAGTTTTTATTTTTTACGTTTTTAAACGGTATTTGGTGTAATAAAGATAAAAAATAAAAATTAAATCAATTTTTTAATTTAGTGTAAAACGAGAGAGAAATGAAAAATGACTTTTAGTCGTTTTTTATTTTTTATTTTCATTTTCTCCTCTCGAGAGCAGAGAAAGAGAGGGACATTAATGAGTTTTTTTATACTGAAAATAATCTATTGATAAAACTACCAAACGCATTTTCAAAAATGATTTCTGTCTTAGATTAAAATTATTTTCATTTTTATTTTCATACAAAAAATAAAATTATTTTAGAACGAGTTTCAAACGCACCCTCTAATAAAACTCGAAGAATGGTCTTAAATTGAACATCGCTAAACGGCTCTGTGGAGCTCTTCAGCTCCTTATACACATAAGGTGACACATAGAGTGGGCTCCATATGAGTCTCACAGAGGTACGAGGCCCACCTTATATGTTTGAGGAGGAGTTGCGGCCCCGCGAAGCCATTTAGCATTTTGTTTTAAATTTTATATTTAAAAAAATAACACGTAGTGGTTGTAAGCATCGTTTAGAGATGATTCATATATGACTCCATGTTAAAGTGTAGATATAAAATCACAACCTTACCGGATTAAGGGGCTATTTAAGCGAATGGTCCAGAAAAATAGGGCAAAATAGAGCTGCAGAGTAAAAATTTAAACATAACCTTCATTTTTCAAGAGGAATCACCTAAAGTAGGAGCTCATCATGTGATATTCAAGTCAATCATGACAAGACACTCAACAATCCCCCTTCTCTAGAAAACGTGATGAAATACAAATGCTGATTTAGGAGTTCTTTAGCTCCTAAGATGGTCGAAGCTTTAATATGTTTGAAAATTTTGTTGAATGCTAGGGACGAGGAATATGAGCCTGTAGTACTTCGACAGTACATGGATGAGGTTGAAAGTTATGAAGATTGCTACGAAGTTGTGGCCGGTAATTATAGTTTAAAACTTCAAAATTATCATCCTTTTTTTTGCTTGTGTTTTTATATTAGTTTGCAATCTAACGTTTCTTTCAACTTTGTAGATGATAGCTCTATTGTTCCTCCGAGTTGCTCTAGTACAAATCAACCTCTGAACCCAACTCCGGATGTGCCACCTAAGGAATTCGTTAAGTAGGTTACCATGAAAATGAATCAAATATAAGATTTATACTTTCATTTCATGTTATTTATTTGATTTTATTATATGCTAATTTAGTGTTGTGTTTCAAACTTGTGTTTGTAGTGTTCCTATGGAGGAGGACAAGTGATGGCTTTTGGGTCTCCTCTCCGGATTGCAATGTGGCAAAAGGACTCTTTTGGGATTTTTAGAACTTCTGAGTTTGGACATTTGTTTATTGTTATTTGCTATGGCCTTTTAATTCGAGACTTGACTATGTTAGTTGCTATGTGTTTGCTCGGAGGTTTGGTTCATGGATTTAGAACCATTCTTGTTTTACGTGTGTTTTTTGTGAGAGAAAAATACTGTAGAGAATAGTGCTGAAACTTTAGATGGGCCGCCCGCGACTACCGAAAAGCTGAATTTTTGCCCAATTACCGAACTCGAACTGTCCAAAAATTCAGGATGTCCGACCCGACCCGAATTTCACCATGGACGGGCTTCGGGCAGGAGTTGGCTGCCCGTGCCCGATTGGGTTGCCCGATGCCCGACCGGCTGTCCGAATTTTCAAATATTTTTTATATTATATTTTTATATTGTATAATGTGTGTATATATATATATATATTACAATTTGAAATTTGAAATAAATACACGAACTATATAAAAAAAATTATTTCTTTATTGATTTTTAAATTTGTAATTCATGATTGTCTCGTTAAAAACCTTATCAAGAAAAACCCAATTGGGATAAAAACTTAATAAGGAAAAAAGAGTGCAATCATTGTGGGACGAATTACAAATTTGACGAAGTTACAAAGTCTATACAATATTTCAATAGCACTATACAAATTAGAAATTACAAAGTAAATAAATATTTACAAATTACAATAATAAAATTTAATTTGAAGCAGAAGGATCGTCTTGAAAATTAAACGTTAATCTATTAAACTCGTCGATCCATTCTTGGCTTGCCGGTGAGATTGTATCGTGTAAGCATTGGTCGGAACGATCCCAATCCTTGATGCACACCAAAGCTTCAACAATATCATGTTGCAATGCGTTTCTCTGTTCTTTAAGTATTCGGCCGGTTGTACTGAATGCTTGTTCGGCTGCAATAGTGGAGACCGGGATCAAAAAAATATATATTGCCAGTCGCGTTAGGATCGGCTAAGTTAATGCCCGTGCCCTCCACCACTGAACCAAATCAAACATTTCACTACTATCTACAACTAAGCCCTCACTCAGGGACGCCATTAACTCGTTGAATCCGCCGCTGTTGCCGCCACCTCTTTATGAAGATCCACTCCCAGATTCTTCTTGACCTTGAGTCGTCATCTTCTTCTTGACCTTGAGTCGTCATCTTCTTCTTCTTCTTAGACAACCCGAAAAAATTCAAGAATGAATGCGGATTGTCGTCTCGTTGTTGCGGTTGTTCAACACGATGTGTGTTTCTAAACCTACTTTCGTAAGAGATATAGAGAGAAAATATTTTTTCCTTTATAATAGGAAATTGGTCAGTAGTGTCGATAGCTAAAAATTCACCTAAGTTATCTAATCCACTTTCTAAACCTTCTAATTTTAATCTAGGGTCAAAAATATCACCGAAACCATACAACATGGGTAATTTAGACCAATATTTCTTAAATTTCTTTTCCATAAAGGCGATAGGAACTCCTAAAACCTCGTGTGTCCTAAATTTACTAAATAAAATAGACATTCTTAAAAGTTCTCCTAACGCTAATGGTGACATTGTGTAATAAGTTCCACTAAGCTTTAAGGTAACTTCGTGAAATCTACCTAAAAAGTTATATAAGAGTTCGGCAACTTGCCAATCAGTTTCATCTATAAATCATGGTCCTAATTTTGCACTGACATAATTTGTTATAGCATCTTTATAGGGGATGCATTGTTCAAGTATTATATCAGTGGAGTTCCATCTTATGGGCATATCTAAGGCTAATGCTCTTGGATTTGACTATGTTAGTTGTTATGTGTTTGCTTGGACGTTTGGTTCAGAATTAGGAACGAATGCGGAAACAAACATCTAATAAATGTTTGGGAGTTAGAACTTGCAAGTTTGGAACTTCTTTCGACTTGGATGTTTGGAAGTTGAAACTTTAGAATTTGGATTTTTATATTTTATGGACTGTGTCGTTTTTAATGTATTAAAATCAGGTTTGTTTTTGCCTTTTTGTGTAGTAAGTGTCAAAATCAAGTTCGAAAAACTGTCGGTTAACCGCTAAACCGAACCGAACCGACCGTGTATGGCAGTCCGGTTGATGTTCAATTGTATACCCCTTATTGGACGATGATTGAATCGACAAAAATCGACAGATCTACAACAGAAGCAAGTGGAGCAAGTGTTTTTACCGTTTAATTTTTTAACATCTGTAGCATGAGCAGTTATGTGTGATGTACTGTAAATTTTTAATAAAAATATGTACAGATCTAACCGTTAAAAAACCGTGATCCACCAAGGGGTCACAATTAAGGGTTGCACCTTCTGTCAAGGTTTCCTAAAATATAATAATAATGGTAATTATTTAATAGATAGATGATCGAATTAAGATAATAGATATATTAATTGAATTAAGATTATAAATACATGAGAATTTTTATGGTGCAACTCCAAATTGTGACCCATCAGCGGAGCAAGTATTTTTAGTCGTTCGATTAACTTTTTAACGGTCAAATTTGAGCAAGTCCGTATTAAAAATTTACAGCGTACTATACAAAACTGCTACATCTGAGCTTTAAAAAATTAATCTAATGATAAAAACACTTACTTCACCGGTGGTCACAATTAGGAGTTGCAATGTAATAGAAGCCTAGTAAAGAAAGAAAGAAAATACAGTTCTGCCACTTCATATTATTCATGCGTCCATACGTCTGCATGGTCCAAGATCAAATTTTCTGAAATCAATCTGCATTTTGTTATTATTATTATGATTATTATTATGATTATTATTATGATTATTATTATGATTATTATTATGATTATTATTATTATTATAATTTATTATTATTATTATTATTATTATTATTATTATTATTATTATTGTGTGGGAAAATGTGGATGACGCGTGAAAGAACAACAGTGTGACACGTGGCCTTGCTTTTCCTCAAAAGGCAACAACCCTTGACGCTGGGGACTCCCTTTCCTTAAGCTGCAAAGGAAGCCCAACTTAGGACGCCGACTCCTCATGACGACGACAGGTCGTACCGTCGACCTTACGACGGAAATCCTTTAGGAGAAAATCAATTGCCAAGAAAGACAACTAGGCTGAGCAAACAGAGACGGCGAGAGGAATGTCCCAAAAGGGGAAAGCCTGACATCGCAAGTTGCGTGCAGAAATGGGGGATGTCTGCAGTGTAGGCATTAATTGTAAACCCTTAAACCGCCCTACGGGGGACAGAAAAGGGTTACAGGTACGCACAGAGCCGTAATAGGAGACTAATTGGCTAAGTGAATAGTTCACAAAGTGATTAGTGGGCTACGATCTGGGCCTAGAAAGGCAGACCACTTGAGTGCTTCTGCCTACAAAGGAGACCCACCCAATGAAGGAAGCTCGGCTATAAAAGGGACAAAACCCCATACAGGAAAGAGGTTCGCTTCCTGAGAGAGAAAAAATGAGAGAACAACAGTTGATGTAAATTGTAACAATCTCAAAAGGAATATAAAACTGCAGTGGATGTAGCTCTTCATTAACAGAGTGAACCACTATAAATTTTGTGTGTTCTTCTACTTCAAGCATTTTTTCGCATATTGCTCACCATTCTAAAAATACAACAAACACTTCATTGCATAAATTGAGTGTACAATCAATATCAAGCCGGTAATCCAACGGGATACCTAGAGGTGACCCGACCAATTTCTGTTGACGAGATTTCACCGTCAACAATTATTATTATTATTATTATTATTATTATTTGTGTAATGGTTTTTGACTTATTTTTAACAAAACGCACTTTGTTTTTGGAAATAGATAAAAGGAAAGGTATATAGCCATGCAAAAAATTTCAGAATCGATTGTCATCACTTTTCTTTTTCCTTGTGATCACGGTTTTTGACCGATCATCTTTATCACTGGAAAACGCACCTTGTTTTGAAAATAGAAAAATGGTAATTAACTTTCGAATGAAATCATATAACTTGGAGAAGTTTTGGGGGAACTTCATAATATTGGCGGAGTGTTGTTTTCATTAATAAGATTTACCAAATTAAGTGTACGTTTGCCAACTTGTGTAATCTGATAATATCAACAATATATATATATATATATATATATATATGATGTTGAAAGATAAAACAATATCAGGCAGTAAAATGTTTGACTATGAAACATATTGGAGTTATTGAGATGGCCTCGTTCATTTCGCTGATTTGAGTTTAGAATTCGAGTTTATATGTGATTTTATGTGAGAGCTTTTTACTGTAGTAAAAAAATTAGATGTGACTGTTTGTGAGAGCTTTTTACTGTAGCAAAACTCGAATTCTAAATTCGAATCAGCGAAACAAACGAGGCAACACACTACGAATTAAGAAAATTCAACATTATGGTAGTGCGTTGCTTTTGGGGAGTTGCGCGCTTTGGTTTCCTCCGTTAAAAGCTACTTTTTCAAGAGATTAAGGGGCTGTTCAGCAGTCCCTTTTTTGAGTCAAAAACTCAAAAAAACAACTCGAGTTACAACTTTATTTAAGTTTATGTTCTTTTAAGTTTGAACTCGAGTTTGAACTCGAGTTTGGGACTAAAACTCGAGTTTAAAGCCCCGTTCACTTCACCGATTCGAGTTTAGAATTCGAGTTTTGCTACAGTAAAAAATTCTCAGACACGGTCACATTTAACTTTTTTGCTACAGTAAAAAGCTCTCACATAAAATCACATCTCAACTCGAATCAGCGAAGTAAACGGGTAGTTTCCCCTTCAACTCGAGTTCAGAAACTTTTATTCGTTTTCAATTTTTAATAGTGTTATGCTGTTGATGGTGTATACTTTTATCATAAAATTGTAACTTTTATTATAATGACCGTATTGTTGTTGTTTTTTTTTTTTTTTTTTTGTTGAAGATCTTCCTTTCATTCGTTTTCAATTTTTTACAGTGAGAATAATTATCGATGTCTGTAATTTCTTTTTTTTTTCAATGCCATAATGGTGGAAATTTGTTCCAGCTATTTCAAATTTTAAATTCCCTCACATAATTTGAAATTCTACCAAAATATAGAATCACAAAATTTAATATTGTATATAGCTTTACCACGATTTAAGATTCAATATTATTAATTAGTTTTCAGTTTTTTTTTTTTTATCATTATGAGAATAAAATTAGGGTAATAACGTACATATATGACTTTGGATGGTTTTAAATAAAATGAAATTATAGATATTTTTAAAGTGTGCAACGGTATTTAGGCATTTATGTTGCTAAACAAAGTTCATTAAGGTAAAAACCCAAGAAACTGCTAGTCTTTACCTCAATGTATGAAAATTTTACACTTTTGTTTTTGTTTTTTTTTGTTTTTTAGTCCTTTCTTCATTTACCTCTTCTAGTTTGTTTGCTTGATAACTTCAAGAAGAAGGAAACATTGCCATGTGACAGAGGATTTTCAATTGTTCCAAAATCCAATTAATGTTAACGTGCCAAGATGCATATGAATTAAAAGTCAAAGCTTGTCATTTCCTCTTCTCTTGATGTGGTCTGCATTCAATTTTGATAACTGATAAAAGTCTACATTCCAACCCTATTTTAGTTAGGGAGTCTAAAGAAAGAAAGGAGAAAAAAAATGTAGTCCGCTAAAATTAAAATTTTATGAAGTAATTCCCCCTAACGGTCGAGTCGGGATTTTATATCAATAGGGCACTAATAAGAGCATATAAATTATTTAACTTTTTTCTTTTTTCTTATAATCATTAAAAATTAGATTTTAAGAATAAACTATTTGATATAATACAATATTAGTGATTTTCGACAGCCTATTCTATTATACATTCCTATAATGTATCAAAACATAAGAAATAAAGTATAAGTGAGTTGTAAAGTTCACATATAATTAATTAATCATCACGAACGTGTTCTATTAAAATGGTGTTAGTTATTGAAATTAATAGATCTCTAAAACAACCAATGCTTTCTATAAAAAAAAAAAAAAAAAAAAAAAGTGTAGAGAAAGAAAGTAGATTAAAAAAATAAAATAGTGGATATAATTAAAAAAATAATCAAGAGGGATCACATTTGAGAAAAAAATTAACAGGGACCTGTTTGAAAAACTAAGTAAATTTATAGGCCAAAATCACAAAATTGAAAAGGATTGAGTGAGGGCCCGTCCCCACATATCTTCGTAGGTATCTCCCCTAATACTGTATATAATATATATATATATATATATATATTTCGGGTCCGTTTAGTTCGCTGATTCGAGTTTTTAATTTAAGTTGAGATGTAATTTTATGTGAAAATTTTTTACTATAGTAAAAAAATTAAGTAATTATTTATGATAATTTTTTACTATAATAAAATTCTAAACTTAAATTGGTAAAATGAACGACATGTATCTTTATTCAATCTTCTTTGAGATTCACATACGGAAAAAAGTCAGAGATCTTTGTCAGAGAAGTTTTAGCCAAAACATGTGTGTTTGAAACTTTGATCAAGATTATGTTAATAAACTTTGACAACTATTTTATGACGGTGAAATACAAAATGGGATAAGCATCCAAGAAGACAAATACAAGGAAAGCCCCCCGATATGTGAAACAACTCAAACTAGCCACAAATGTAAAACTCATCTCATCTCGTCCTAAACAAAACTTGTAAACTATAAAACCCTCTAGAAACTTATCCAGATCCAGCTCAGGACCATGGCGGAGCAAAAATCCGACGATTTGTTCGGCTGCTTACCGGACGAGATCTTTTGCCGCATCATTTCTTTTCTTCCTTCCGAAACCGCACTAGAGACCAGCTTCCTCTCACGAAGATGGAGAGGCCTGTGGAACTTGGCCTCAGTCCAACAATCAACTGTCGATGGCATTGCCACCGAAGTCACCGAATTCTTGGCCGGTTTCGACAAACTAGATCCGCTGAGGCGCCCCCGGCGGCTGCAACTCCACTTTGGCAAAGGCAGTGTGCTAGTGGCTACAATTGCAGCCAACAATAAACTCAAAGTGGAGTTCTCAACAGGAGAGCAAGAAGTTCCAGGGCATTTTGATTGGCATTTGCAGCTTAGTCACCAAAACGGTGTCCATCACTTTTGTCCCTCCACTTTCTTTGTCAAAACTCTACATCTCAAATCAGTTGGATTTCTCACCAATGCGTCTGTTTCTTCCATGGTCTCAAGATTTCAGTTTCTTGAGAGCTTGAAAATCATTGAGTGCTATGGATTGCAATCCCTCCATGTTGAGTCCAGTCCAAAGCTTATTAGCTTAACCATTTTGGATTGTCCACATTTGGAGTCTCTTCACCTTAAATCTTCCAAACTTCAATCGTTTCGATACCGAGGGAAGCTCCCTAGGATTTCACCTGAATATCACTTTAACTTGGCTGATGCCATGCTTGATTTCAGACAAGGTCTTGGCACAGATGGTTTTGTTGCTAGTGAATTTGACGCAACTCTGTTAACCATAAAAAATGCTCAAGTTGTTACTCTCTGCAGGTGGACTTTTGAGGTATGTTCACACCAACTCCTGCAAGCTTCTTCTTTGTTTTCAAACTCTTCTACCAATAAATATCAATGAGTTAATACAGCGGTAAGAATGTCTTTTCTTCTTCTACTCCAAGGATGACCCATGTTCGATCTTGCGTGAAACTGATGCATCCTTTGAGTAGAATTGGAATAGGCCTTTCCCGCTCCATAGATGGGCCTTGGATTTCTTATATAGACGAGGCTGATAGGGGTCGGGATGACACCAGTTGCCCTCTTTTTTGCTGAGGAAGAAAAAATGCCTCAACTAGTAACATAAACATAAGCTATTCAAGGATAGATTTTGTTTTAAAACTGCTTGTTTATTTGCAGAGTTTGATTTGGCCCTCAGTTTTGCCTCTGAAAGGGACTTTCCAATTCTATAAACTGAAAGAATTATGGTGGATTGATTACTCGGAGTCGGAGGAGGGCTACAAAGCAGATGCCTTGATATCCTTTCTGAAACTCTGCCCCGCCTTGGAGCGGCTATTTATAACTGTAGGTTTCTCACTTGTTCTGTTTGAACCATTGGCATGTAAAATTGGATTTTATCAGTTTGTTTTCATATCCTTGCTATAATGATCTTCACCCTGTCAATTTTCATGCAGATTGATCCTAAAAGCTACTGCGAACCGAGCACAAATACATTCTTGAAGAAAGCTACTAAGCATACAGAACTTGGTCATCTCAAAGTGGTTAAACTGGAGGGATTTGTGAACCAAGAGGATGAGTTTAATTTGCTAAAGCGTATAAGAGAGCTAGTCACAGTAGAGCCACTTATAATATCAGCATTAGATGAGAACTGTGGCAACCTCCTAACATCAACACCCTCTCCTAAACATGCTCAAATGTGTCTTTAGTTTTACCTAATTTTCGCATTTTTCACATGTTTATTGCCATTAAGAATTATGTTCTGGGTAGCTTGTAAAAAGTCTCTAGGATTTGCCTCTTGATGCTTGAATTTCGTTTGCTTTCATTCTCAGACAGCGGCCATGTAAAGGGTAGGATGCTAAATCTGGATGGTGGTTATCAGCTTTGCTAATAGTTCAAAATTTGATATAATTATCTATTTATTAGAATTCTAGGGTTGGATTTGAAAAATTATCCCAACAGTAAGACACATTTCTGGACCGTACGTTTTTCATCAAGTTTATATTAGATTGTTATTTTTTTTCTTAATTCGAGACAATTCTGATATAATTTAATAATTTAAAATTGTGTCATACAATTGGTCCTATCCTACAGTAGAATTTTCCAAATAACTTGTTGGCCTTCTTCCATGAGTTATTATGAGATTTGCAGAGCAATCATGCTTTGGGAAGTAATGTTTAATTAAATTACAATTCAAATCTTTTCATGTGGTTGGAAAGAGCTTTTCAAGACAGAGACTTTGAAATTATTTGATTGAGTCAAAAAAGCATTTCATGATCATCTAAATGAATTAACCTATTCAACATGTCGAAAATGTTGACTAGTGTAGGCAAATTATTGCTTTGTTGCAAATACAATACGCAGATCGTCTTTATTATTTGGTTGTCTTATACTCTTTATATTAAAAAGGGTATTCTTTTTAGAGTTAATAGAGAGGTTAGAATCTGAGATTTGTGTGATTTCTTTTATATTTTTTTTATTATAGTAAATTTTATAGCGACTGAAAATTGATGTAGCCCTAATATTAATAGATGGTCAAATGTGACAATGATACAATAATACAATAATACGATATATGATGACATCATTGTGATTGTATATTCAAAGGAACTCGAATTTTTGTACATTTGCCAATTTATGTTTGTGATCTTTTTTCACATTGGTTTTATCCTTTTTCATGTGGTTATAATTTTCTAGAGGGTATTTTACACATTTGCTTCATGAACTTATAAGGCTTTTGTAACTTGCCCCTGAATTTTTTAATTTTGACAAGTTACCTCCTCAACTTATAAAATTATTGTAATATACCCCACTTAACCGATGATTGCGTTAAATTAGTGTTAAAAAGCACGTTTGACGAAAAAATTCCAACATCCCGAGTCAAATGCAACACAAATTGAAACCTCAACTTTTAGTCCATTAAATTTAATAAAATATTTGAGTAAATTTAGTATAATAGGACACATTACAATAATTTTTATAAATGTAGAGGGTTGATTGTCAAAATAAAAATTATAAAGAGCAATTTGCTAAAACAACTGTGCTAAAAACCCTTTTCTGCCAATTCCTCATTGTCCAAAGGAAACAAAACAAACCAAAAGTAGCTCCACTTGAATGATTGAAGAAGCGGCAAATACACTTTCAATAAGTAAACAACAAACATCCAATCAACTCTTCCTAATATTCCTACAGACAGAAAAGCAAAAGAAACAAACACAAACAAACAACTTATAAAACTATAAACGAAACCCAACTGAATTCCCCAAGCCCCTAAAAATCACTGCCGGGAAGTGGTTCGTGGGTGGGTTCACCAATAAAGATGTTGTCGTAGACAATAGCCGCAATTCCAGCACCGATCATTGGGCCGGCCCAGTAAACCCAGTGGTTTGTCCAGGTCCAGCTGACCACTGCTGGGCCGAAGGAGACTGCCGGGTTCATGGATGCACCATCAAAAGCCCCACCAGCCAGAATGTTGGCCCCAACAATGAACCCAATTGCAATTGGTGCGACAATCCCTAAATCACCCTTCTTTGGATCCACTGCAGTCGCGTACACCGTGTACACCAGGCCGAAAGTCATGACGATCTCGAAAATCAGAGCGTTCCACGTGGACACTCCTGATGATAGGGCAAAGGCGGATGTTTCCTGCATTGTGCCAAATGCGGAAAGAAGTTGATTTTAGAGTTCAAATTCTTCCACTCCGAAAATGTAGTTAGCAAAAAAATACATACATACACATATATATATATATATATATGTTTGCACTATGGTACCATTTCAATAATGGTATGTATTACTATGGTCAGTTACAATTCCATAATAGTTTTGAAGATCTAATTTTGGTTATCCAAACTGATTTTATGTTGGCTCATTTTTCGTAACATGTGAGTTTTAGAATTGATATTTGAGTATTTGATTAGACAAGTATATCACATAATTATTTGTCATGATGCGTAATATTGTTTGTTGTCTCTTATCACTTATAAGTTATTGTAGAATGCAAAAGATTAATGTGTTTTCATTTATATGGCTAGATAGCATTTGGGTCCAAATAATATTAGGGTAAGCGAAAAGCTAGCTTAAAAGACTTGTTGATATTTATTTATGTATCCCATGAATATGTATGTATATTTTACCAAGCTTAATTAATTCTTACCAATCCTCCAGTGGCGAACTTAAGAAGCAAGCAAGCAACAACGGATCCCAAAAGCTGTGCGATCCAATACAAGATGCCCCTCAACAACGTTATGTTCCCACCAAGGAACGCACCAAAAGTCACTGCAGGGTTCACATGGCCACCGGAGATGTTGGCGCCGACTGACACCGCCACAAAAAGAGCAAACGCATGAGCCAATGCAGCCGCTACTAGTCCCGAAGGGGTCGATGCCCCATTATTAGTAAGCTTGTCTGCCAACACACACACAAAATCATTCATCCTCGTTAGCCCTTTGTATTTTAGCTTAAAATACAACTACTTACAGAAAGAAAGTGAAAAATAGGTTGGGACAAAACAAGCAAAATGTGCGTTTAGATTCAAGTGCGAGAAACGTACTAAAAGCCATGCCAGAGCCTTCTCCTGCAAAAACGAAGATGAGCATGGAGAAAAACTCTGCAAATGCTGCCCGAATAGCATCCGGTTGCCTTGCCTCGCCGGGGTTTCCAATTGCGATTCTGTAGATTGCCATTTTCTTAAAAAAATAATAATAATTTGGCTTTCTCTGTGTTTGATTTCGAAAGCCCTTTTTCTTGCTTCTTTTGTTTTAACTTGTTCTGATGTTGGAACTAGGCAGTGTTTTCCCCTCCCTTTAAACACCTGAAATAACGGCTAAGGAACCGGTTTAGCCAGTTGACGGTAAGAGCTCAATGAGTAGCCAGCCAATAGGAGAATCGGTTTTCTAGAGAGTAACAGGTCGGTGACTTTACAGCTGACAAGTGGGTCCAATAGGTACAAGTGAGTGGCCGTGATGCAATGTAGCAAGCTGCTGAATCGGTGATGGAAGGACTTTAGGATCGCCGACCTGGTGACGTGGCGGGCCCGCTTTGATGTTTTGTGGTGAGTGATTGGATCGGAGGAAACTAGGGAACCGACCTTATTGAATATTGAATTCTAAACGTGGGATTTTTGTGTGGCGGGAGATTTTTTGAACTTTTGATAGGGTGTTAGTGGGACCATGAAGCTTAAATAGGGTCGGCTATTGGTGGCCCCTAACTCATGGGTCCCAATTCCAAATATGATCATTGAGAGAGTAGAAGATTTACATTTACACCACTGTTTTCCATGTGAGTATCTGATGCGAGTGTTACATGATATAGGCAAAATCATGTGATAAGGGCAATATACAGCGGCGGAGACAGAAAAATAAGTTAAGAGAGGCGGGGACGTCTATTAAAATTTAATATATAAATAAAAATTAGGTTAGACTATTATAAAGGAGACAAATTACTAAATTTTATAAAATTGTCTATAAAAAATCAGGTGAAGTGGCCTCCTATACCCCGGCGGCAATAGGTGGCTCCTCCCTCCCTTGTGTTTATATCATCACCTTTTACTTATTATTTTTGGTTGTTGCAAAGTTTTCAAGGAGTTTAGTATATTTCATGAAAGCAAATACTAAATATTACTGATGATTGACAGTGACATCTTTTTAACTCCTTAAAATTTGTCAAGTAAAATTGTACGGGATCATGTGTTATAATGCTAATCCGTAGATCTCAAAATTAATATATTGAATATGATTAGTAGGAAGAATAACAATAATTTGTGATACTGTTCTTCAAGAAAAACGAATAAACAGATATGTATTGAAACGAACTAATTATGTTGACTTATCAAGAACTTATAATGAACCACTTGCTAAAATTTTTAGAGTCTATTTGGTTCATTGGTTCAAATGGTTTTAACCAAAAAATTCAAATAAATCAGCATCTTATAAATATTTTTTAGGCATTCGAACCAATAATTTGACATTTTGAACTAAAAAAACTTCAACTCAGAATGCACTTCAATGGTTTGTACTAAAAGTTCAAATAACATTCTTCGAACTTTACATTTTAAACAATAAGGGCTCGTTTAGTTCGATGATTTGAGTTTTTAATTCGAGTTGAGATGTAACTTTACGTGAGAGTTTTTTACTGTAGGACAAGAGTTAGATGCAACTGTTTTTTAGAGTTTTTAAATGTAAAAAAACTTGAATCGGTGAAATAAACAGGACCTAAAAGTTTAAGTCGCCATGTTTCGAACAACTCTGTGTAGGGAAAATGTAGGGAACCTTCAGAGGGCACAATGCACAGGTTATGTGGAATTAGTCCAAAAGAGCACAAGTTGGCCCGAACACTTTTTAAAAAAAAAAAAAAAAAAAAAAAAAAAAAAAAAAAAACAACTACAGAATATACCCAATGCAAGCATACAAGGAATTAGTCAAATACTCCAAGCTTCAATGCTCTTAATTAAGCTTGAAAGAGAAATATGATAATGAATATAGGGTTGGTGAAGGGTTTTATAAACAAGTCCATCATATGAAATAATCACGAGGACTTTGTAAGTGGTCCTATTTTGTGATGTTAGAGTAGGTCCATGCCCATATGCATTTAATTAATTACCAAGCATTGTATATTTAAGCTGGGGGATGCATTTATAATTTGGCAGAAAAATATTTTAAACAAATTGAAAATAAACATGTAAAGTAATACCCTTTTATATATATATATATAAGATGCACTTTTGATGACGATTTTCCTTTTGTAGGTCACTCCAAAAAACAAATTTATTGGGTACCACTTATTTTCATAGAGAATGACTTCATTACATATATTTTGTTTCATGGAGACAAAAGAACCGACTTCCCATCAATACCATTATTATAGGACCGACCAAATTATTGGATGCTTGGAGGAAAAATTTTTCTTTTATTGTTGTTTTTTTTTTTTTTTCTTTTTGTTGAATTGTATTGTCTCATTTGCATGATTGAGGTTTGTCCTTATCAAGACGTTATGGCAAATCTTCACAAACAAGACGTTATGTGTTTTGTATCTGCTTTGAACAAACAAGCTCTTGAAATTAGCAATATCAAAGAAAAAGCAAACGAGAAATACAAACACAAACACTATCCAAACCTATGTCAAAGAAAAAGCAAAAGAGAAATACAAACAAAAACACTATAAAGGTAGTTCTTCTTATCTTTCCTGAAGCAGTCATTTTCAAGCAATCCTATAAAGCAGGTGTAATGGTGTCGCTCAAAACTCCTCTCATATCCAAACTATGTCATAGGGCCGTCTGATTTGAATCGTACGGTTGAGGTAAAAAGCCTTATGAGAGACGTGCGATGAGATGTTTCCATTGTAAAAATTCTTTCTAATAATAGTATACCATGATGTAAAATCCCTACACCATCTCACACATAGTAGTGTATGTTATGATGAACTTGAAATATGACAAGTGTGCTTATCAGGCTTTTGATATCCATGGAATATTTGCGCTTGAAATAAGAAGCTCCAAATGATATGAAAGATGATAATAGTTTTTTTTTTTTTCTGTGATATGGATAGAAGAATAATGCCTTTAAATTCAAAAAAAAAAAAAGCCTAAAATAAGATAACTCATTTGTCCTATTTTTGTTAATCTGGCATAAAAAATGAGGCAGTAGCATTCATCAAGCACATTGTTTTCAAAAATTTCCTGTAAAATAAAACCAACAATATTCTCTTCATGGTTTCTCTGCATATTTATCAGGAGAAGATGATACTATTGACTAGCAAAAACACTTGCATTTAAGTTAATCACTATTAATCCAAGTTTTTTTTTCTCTTTTGGTATAAATTAAGCCTAGTGAATTCTCAATCAAGGCTTAGCTCTAAGTCACAAAAAGAGTAAACAGAGCTAGCATAGCTAAAAAAATCTGTGATCAAACTACCTTCCCTTTGGATCCATCAACTGCGAAAAAACGGCACTGGATGTTGCATCAGATCCTTGGTCACTTCTTATAGCTGCAAACTCACCACTATGATTTTCATTTTGTGGAAGCCATTCAGGAATATCAGGAAAGTAGTTTGCACTGTTCTCGGCCGAGGCTGCTTGAATGGAGGCCTCTTGAAGCTGAAGAGCATACTCCAAGTTCCACAAAACGTCTCCCATTGTTGGCCTCTCAACCCCATATTCACCCAGGCATTTCTCCGCTGTTTCCCCGAACTTTCGAAGGGATTCGAGGTTTATCGACCCTATTAGATGAGGGTCTATTATCTTCTCCAGTTTTCCTTTCTTTTGCCAGTTCATACCCCATTCTGCTATGTTAACCTGCTCTCTAGGTAGTGAAGGATTTATAGCAGGCCTAGCGCATATGATCTCCATTAGTACTACTCCAAAAGAATACACATCTGATTTCTCCGTGAGCTGCTGCCTCCTGTAGTACTCGGGATCAAGATATCCAAAGCTGCCCTTTACTGCGGTGCTCACATGAGTTTGATCAAGAGTAGGGCCTAATTTGGAGAGACCAAAATCAGCAACTTTTGCGGTGAGATTTTCATCAAGAAGTATGTTTGTCGTTTTGACATCGCGGTGGATTATGATGTCTGCTGCTCCTGTGTGAAGATAGTGAAGTCCTTTTGCAGCTCCAATGCATATTTCAAGCCTTTGTTTCCAAGTGAGTGGTGGGAGATCAGAGCCATACAAGTGTTTTCTGAGAGGCCCACCAGCCATGAACTCATAAACAAGGATCATCTCATTGAGCTCCTCACAATAGCCTACGAGGGAAACCAAGTGTCTGTGCCTAAGCTTGGAAAGCATCTGAATTTCTGTCCTGAATTCAGTGAGTCCTTGCTGTGATCTTGGGTTTCCACGCTTCACTGCAACCACGGTTCCATTCTCTAGAACACCCCTATAGACCTTTCCAAACCCTCCAACACCAAGAACTAAGCCCTCGTCAAAGTTCTTCGTCGCTTCCTTGATCTCCGAGAAAGCCAGAATGCGGCCTAAACCAAGTGAATGTGCTGTTGAAGCAGAGCTGCCAATGGAGACTTTTGAATCAGAAATTCCCAAATGAGTAGGAATTGACAACCATGATGAGAATTGACGCTTTGGTTTCTTCGGATTTTTTCGTTGTAAGTTGAAGAACAAAGCTGCTAGAATTAGCACCAAAACTACTAAAGCTACTGAAGCAGAAGTAAATGCAATCACCACCCAGTTTTTCTTGCTAGAAGACTTGGAATCAATTTCATCGGTTGGGAAGTTCCCATCAAGGCTGCCAATGAGATTGCTTATTTTCATGATCTCCAAACCGTTTAAGATTGCATTTGATGGGAAACCCCCTAAGTTAGAAGGACCCACTTGGACCAAAATCCGTTCTAATCTGCTCGGAAGATTTGCCACAAAGTCCATGTAATAGGCTGCCGATAGAACCATTGTTTTGCTTGAGATGTCAAAAGTGTCTAAAGCAGATTCCTCATTAACATACACATTGAAAACCAGACTTTCAAGAGATGTGCTAACAATATCACAAAAGTGCATCCTAATAAGATAGGAGAAACCATCTTGAACATCAAAACCCCATGAGATGTTAAACTTCTGGCTGGTGACATTCGCATCCGCCATCTCTTGAGCCGTGGCATAAACCCAATTCGGAGCAATCTCGACCGACACCCCACTCAGGTACTTAACTGAACTGGGATTGCCAGCAACACTCTTTGCAGAAGCAGCATTGAGGAGAAAAGGCTCATCTGGTTCCCATGTCCTCCAAAGTGAGTCATTCTTGGGAGTTATAAGAGGACCCCCCATGTTCACTCTATAAACCGTCTCAAAAGCTACATTCGGAGGAATTTCAACTTCACTCTCTATTGGAATAGGCAATGCACTAGAAGGGAATTGCTTGTTGGGAACTGACACAACCTCAATCCCGTTGATGAATGCAACTGAACCGTTCCATGGAGACAGTTTTAGTACCAAGTTTTTCGAGCTTTTTCCGGTCAAATTCACAACATATTCCTTGAGGACAGGAGTGATATCGCCGGAGTTTGAGAAAGAAAACCTGTGAAGCAGAGTAATTCCGTTGGCCACAACAGAGAAAGTGGCAGATCGCAAGTCGTAATTTGGATTCTCAGAAGGGTAGAAATGAAGTCTCAGCCAATGCTGACCAGAACTCTGCTTGGTGACAATGTTGTAGACTGAAGTTTCTCCGAAAACCCGAGCTGAATTGTAGAGATTCAAATCGTTTGAAGCAGTCACCTGAGGTTCTGAAAGGACAACAACAGAATTTTTTGACACACTGACATGTGAATTCCCACAGTCAGGCTCAAAAACCCGGCCATCCTCAAGTTCCAAAGGCTCGCTTCCTCCACAGTCAATGAAAAACCTGTCTTGGGGAATAAAAGAAGCAAATACAATGTATGGAACATGTAAAATGCAAAAAAAGTAGATAATGTGTGTACAGTTTGAATCAGCCATTGTTTTGCTTATAACAAGCTATCTCTCTCTTTATTCTTCCCTCTCTCTCTCTCTCTCTCTTAGCTAATGAACATAGCAGAAAACAAGGAAGGAAAGAATTTAACATACAATGATATCATACCACATGTTGGTATCTGATATCTCATGTATAAGTTTAGACTGGAACTGAAATAAACAAAAAAAAACAAAAAAAATACCCAACTTCTGAAATTTACCAAAACAAAGGAAAAGGAAAAGAATAAAAAAAATGTGAGAGTTACAAAAAGAGGGGAATTTTCTGATGAAATAGAAAAAGGGAAAAGAAGTGTGTGTGGGAGGAATCATATTAGTGAAGCCGCAGTTTCCAAGGTCTGGTCTCAGTGAGTGTAAATGGACCAACTAATTGCTCTAAAGTGCTTTAAAGAGTAAAAAATAAAGGAGTTTTGGAAGTTGGGGCAACTGACTTAACTGGAGTTTGTGCTCTTTCTTTCTTTTCCCACATCTACTATGCAATTAAGGCAAAGGGCCCTAGAGGGCATGCCAGCCTCCAGCCTGTCAATTTATTAGTAACATAACCAAGACAATAATAATAAATAAAGACAAGACGATGTGGAACCCAAATCATACTAATTTCAGTGTCTACTTAAACGGCCGAATGATCGTTCTTCATAACAAATAAAAAAAATCATTTTACTAATTTCATTTTATTAGATAATCATTTTAGTATATTTCTCTATTATTAAAAGATTTAAAATGTTCTTTAATTCACCTTTTCATTTTTAGTATTTAAGTCGATTTAATAATGTATCATAATGTGGTAACAGGACAAAAAAAAATATATGGACAGTAACATGCAGCAGTTAAAAGGAAAGTTGAAATAAAACTGATTTATCATTACAAAACAAGAGAGAGAAAATAGACGGTTGCACCTTTTTTTCAACTGTTTCCAATGCCTAGCATTCAAGACTCTTTTGTATGCATTCTTGTTTTTTTTTAATACATGTATGTATGTATATATATATATATATCTTAAACAATTACATCATATGTGTGCATTCTGCTGATATAAAACGTAATCCGGAAGTTAGTAGTCATATGCATGTCAAACTTAACCAGCATGCTTTCATTTTTTTTTAATCTCATTTTTAATTATTTTTAAAGAAAGGGCGTGTAGCTTTCTTGGGGCTATAAAAAACTTTTTCAACTCCAAAACCTTAAAACCTTCCCTTTCTTCAAAGCAAACAGTCAGTGGATTCTGGATTCCTCTGTTGACCAACTGTATTTTGAATTTTCTGAGCTCCCTGCTACTTTCATTCTTTAATCTTTCTCTGATTGGGAAAATCTTGGAAAAACTCATCAAGCCTTTTAATCCCATTAAAAAGAAAAACTAATAGCAAAAAATCTGTGATTTGATTCGGACTTAATATATAATGATTAAAAATTGTTTGCTATTGATAGGGTGAAGAACGTTTACTATAAGAAAATATAGTGAAAAAACAAAAACAAAAACAAAAAAAAAAAAAAACATTTTAATTCTAATTTTTGTTAGATTATTAGAAAATAAGAAGAAGAAGACGCAATCGAGCAGGAAATATATAACTGACAGAAGTGTTAATGTTGATCACATGGCAATGCTTATGAATGTGCGAGCCCAAGTGTTATTATTTTAGTGAAGCTTAACCCAGAACTCATTTGTTAAATTTCTTAATGCAAAAGCTGAGTAACGTGTGAAAAGTAAATGCATGAGCGTGAATATTGGTTTGGTGTGTAGTCTGTCGTAATTAATATCTTCAATCTTCATGAATTGGATTTTTGAACTGGCTGCTGGCTGGACCCAACTCACTTTGCGCTGGTGTATCTCTTAAAATTTCTAATCAATGAATATTGGACGATCTACCGACTTCTGCCATGGCAACGAACGACACAGACTTTTGAAGTACAAACGACGTGTCGTTTTCACTATTGTTGCTGCTTGAAAAAACGTGAAACTATTTTAAAAGGGAAAAAAAAAAAAAAAAAAAAAAAGGGTAAGGGGACATGTTTTAGGGCCGTTTAGCATTACTTTTGGACATTATTTTTTGATTTTTTTAAGAAGTTAAAGTGGATTGTTTGGTTGGTGAATTCGTACCCTGATTCGAATCATAGGTCGTAATTCGTTACAGTATTTTGAGAAGTAGGTTTGGAAAAATTTACTTTTGTCCAACAGTTTTTAAATTTGCTACCCCACAACATAATTTGAAAAGCAGGTTATGAGTTATTTTTCACAGCAACTTCTGTTGTCATTATCCGAGTTTACTAAAATGACCTTAATAATAAAATTTAATTCTTAATTAATTCATTTTATTTCTTTCAAATTAAATTAAAGAGTATATTTTATTTTAAATGTTTATTTGAAAATTAAAAATCTTTAATAAATATATTATGCTAAATTTTAATAATTATTTTTATTATAATGTTACAAGTTTGAAAAATAATTTACGTTCAATTCTTTACATTATTCAATTTCTTTGTAGATATAATTTATCTCATTAAATAAAACTAATTTATTTTTTAGAGATATTTTAATTAAAATTGTTTTTTGTATTATAGTGTATAAATATTATGAATATTGACTACAAAAATAGAGATAAAACTAATTATAAATATGTGTGTTAAAGTATGTTTATTTTAGTCATTATACATCTTCACAGTAATTTTGTACATAGTTTACCAAACACCTAAATTTCTACTTTTGGTATTCACAGCAACTTTAAAAAAAAAATTTCCAAACACCTACATGTTTTTAGTCACAGCAACTTCTTACTAACAGCACAACAACAACATAAATTTTCAACAACACAACAATGCCAACTTGGTCCTTAAGTCCTTTTGGAATAAATATCAGATGACATTTTGAAATAACATTTAGACATATGGCTGAATTACAACTCTAGAATTGAAATGTGGCTTAAGTTTAAGAATATCTCATCAATAGCTTAATTGTATAATGATATTTAAATAACGTATTATGTAACTACATTATTGACCTTATAATGATATATTAATTTTTTACATAATCTAGATATTGCTCTACTTTTTCCCCATATTTTTGTGGGATATCTACCTTTTAAAAAAAATTTAAATCCCTAAAATAAAGAAATTAAGATATCATTAAATCACAAGTTAATTAAATTGCTCTTCACGATATATGAGTATTTGTAAGTTTTAAAATTCAAACCATCAAATAGTTGGCATTAGTAAATTTAATTAACTAGATTCTGACTAATCAAGTCAAAAAAAAAAAAAAACAAAACAAAACAAAACAAAACAAATTGATATCAGTATTTAATATTTCAAATCTACCAAAATCTTTCTAGCTCGTTATTAAAATACAAACAATATCATCATAAATATGATCTAAAGCAATATTAGTGTTGTTGTTCGTGATAAACAATTGTTATAGCTCATGTCATTAAAATATAAGCACCGTCATTATCAAAACGACCAAAACACTGTAAGTATTAGTTTTCTCATCTCTAACAATGAATTCTTCTAACCCATATCATTAATATACAAGCAATTTCATTATAAAAATAATCAAAAATTATATATGCAAAATCAACAAAGGAACATACAAATAGCCATAGATATAACAAAAATCTTCGTTATACATGTACACAAAACCATATCATTAAAATAAAGTCAATATCATTAAACAAAACAATCCACACCTAAATTAAAAGCAAAAAGGGAAAACATATATCATTATATATACAAAACTATTTATCCATTTCAAAAAAAAAAAACTGTTACAAGAGATAACAATAAATATATATATATATACATATATATATATATAATGAAACAATAACAAGACATGGCAATATATATGAGATATGATATGATATATATATATATATATGTAAATGCAAATTAAAGGCAAAAAAAGAAAAACCTCGTAGGAATCTCAAAAAATACTGCACGGAGTAATGTAATTGAAAAGACGTTAAAAGTTAGATGAATTAGACGAATCTTTTATTTTAAAATTTTAAAAAGAATCTAGTATAATCATATTAAGAGTAATTCAAAATTTACATGAATCTGTTAGATATTTTTTAACAATTCAATTATGAGGAAAATATGGAAGTTGGTTATAAATAAAAGCACAAAAAAATCAATTGAAAGTATTTTTAGGGTACCAATAAATTAATTCAAAAAATCAGTCATATAAGTGATATTTGTAAAACTAAACCACATTTTAATTCAACTCTAAAAAAAAGTTACCTATTTATTCTATTATTACGGAAAAAAAATGACATGTTGTAGAGATCCAACTATAAGTTGGGGTCCGTGGACCGGCCCATAGAAAATCACGAGTCAGTCCATATAGGCCCATTGCTTAAAAAATATATTTTTCAATGAATATATATAATATATGTTTAGAAAATATATATTATGATATTGAAAACGCATATTTATAACTTTATATATATATATAAATAAGTTTCAAAGTTTGGATATTTATTATACTTATTATTTTATTATACTTATATCGGGAGTAATACATCGTAGTTACGAATAATATTTGTTTTTTATTTTGTTTTTGTTTGTTTGGTTTTTATTTTGAAATCTTGAAAACATTTTATGTTCAATAATCTTAGCTATACTCTTTTTTTTCTTACCTAATTTTTTGTCCCCGTATATAATCTTTTTTTTCATATTTTCTTTGACTATATAGGTTTTTTGTTATAAATATGTTTTTGCAATTCATAAAAAAATAAAAACTTTGAAAAAGAAAAAACAAGCTAAGATGGGTTGGCCTGATTATGACCTATGGTACGGCCAGCCTAGCTCATAAAAAGTGACCAACGGTGCGGGCTTGCTGAGTGGTTATTAGATATGGTTAGGCCCACTCTAATCCACTAAAATAATGGGCTAGGCAAGGCTAGTCCACAACTCATGTAAGCTTAAAGGGAATGGTACGAGTTGGGTTGGTCTGATATATTCTTACATTCTTATATGAAAGTATGTGATCAAATCAAAATCTTTCATATACTCATTAGTGGTGATATTTAGCAGTTATACTAGAAAAATAAACTATTTGAAAATTTTGCAGAGGTAGACTGGCAAAGGTGTTGGGGAGCAATGATGACCACTCTAGTTAAAGGACCTGTGCCAAATTGGCCATGGACAAGAGGAAAACATCAACATTTTCAATCGAGAAGCGCTGAAAACTTGCAAGACCTTGTCAGGGACGGTGTAGCAATCACAACATCTTGTTTTTGTTGGTCATTTTTGTCACTTTGGAAGTAAGAAGATTGAAAAATTAGTGTAGGATGCGTTTTGTGTACATTTTCACCAATCAAGAAAATATGATCCAAGTATGACAAATAATATATTATGACAGGCATATACACTAAGATCATATCCTGCTATCTCTCTCTCACAGCTTTTATATGCATTTTTGGCTTTGTTGAAGGCACAATTTTGGTACCTATAGTTGAATGGAGAAATAGTACAGTATGGTCCATACAGTTAGGTGCAAAATTTTTAGCAGCCATCTATGGGTTAAACTATTAAATTTTTATAATGCCACCACTAATATTTTAATTTTTGTTATCTTAATTAGCAATAATGTGATTGTCAAAAAAATAGAAATAATGCAATTTTTTGTCACACAAATTTTGAGCGGACAGACATATACTTCCCTGTTTTCATGATATTTAATTCAAGGATTCTTTATGCCTCTAATATAAATATAATGATTATTAATTAACAAATTGTGTGCTAATATATTAGAGATGGAACTATGCACCTAAGCCCGTGGCTAGGGGTGGCAATTCGTGTCACGTGTCGTGTTCGTGTCGTGTTTTAATCGTTTTTTTAAAATTTGTAGTCAACCCGAACACGACCCATGACACGTTAAAAATTGCAACACGAACACGACACGACCACTTTACGAGTTGACACGAAACGACCTGAAAATGACCCGTGACACGAAATTGACCCGTGAATCCGAAAATGACACGAAAATTGTATACTTTTATTTAGTTTTTTACATATTAGAAATAACTTAAAATTCATAACACACTGAATTACAATAACATCCATTGAAATTAAGCAAATAATAGTATAAGATTTTGAGTATAACTATCATGATATCACAAGTTCATAATAAAATTTAAAATATGAAATGAAAAATATATGTATTTTTTAGTTTTTTACGAGTTTCGTATCGTGTTCGAGTTAGGCGGGTCCAACCCGAATTGACCCGTGTTTTTCGTGTCAATTTCAGGTCGACCCGATTCTGACCCGAACATCTTTTTTCTCAACCCTAATTCGCAAAATTCGTGTCGTTTTCGAATCGTGTTGTGACCCATATTACCAGCCCTACCCGTGACCGGTCTAGACCCATCTTAATACAATGTTAGGCATATTTATTTAATTATTTATTTTTCGGCATTTTCACGTAATTAATTAGCACAATATTTTATCATATTTTTTACAGTTATTACAATATGCACTATATAATGACCGTTGGTGATTACTATGACTAATACAATAATCTAAAGAGGGAAAAAAATAATAGAAAATTTCAAACAATTTTTTTTTTTAATAACATAGTCATAACTACACCTTAAGTGTTGAGTTGGAATTCCCTATCTCCAAATTCAGAAATAAAAAAGAAAAAGAAAAAAAAAATTTAACTCTAAAAAAACTCAAAAAAATAAATAGAAAAATAACCCTTAAATTTTTTTTTTTTGTTATTAGCACCATTAGTCCCTAATCTCTTTAATAGGTGACAATTTGATCTCTTTTATTAATTTTGGTGAAAAAGTCCTTAAACTCTACAAATGTTGACAATTAAGCCATTTCCGTCTACTTTCTGGACCATCACATTCCCTTTTTTCCTATGAAAAGACAAAAAATACCTCTGACCTCACCCAAAAAAGAAAAAAAAAAAACCCCTCAGGTGGCGTTTGGTTGGGAGGAATCAACATGAGAATAGAATGCCTAGACGCACAATCGCCCATTGCCCAGCATATTGAGAATAGATCTAAACATACCCACATAAAGAATCTTCAAGAAAATGCATCAAAGGCTCTTTCTTTTGAACAAGCTGAAATATTACTAACTTTTTTCCATCAAAAATAGAAAAATCTTCTTCCCTATAAAGTAGAGAAAAACTTCAAAGCTCATTCTGATACACTTTTTTATCAAGCTTTTTAGAGTTGAAAATTCATAATCCTTAAACTTCAAATTTCAATAATGGAATTTACTCAAGTTTATGCAGAATTCTTATTGCTGATTATTTAAATAATCAACTCATATAGCTTGCTTGCTTGTTGATCAAGAGGCAACAAAACACGAATCTCAATTAAGGAACCCATTGATAACTCTATTCTTATTGCTCAGACCCACGATCACCTCCACCCCTCTCCCTCTCCTCCGCTTAGCTAGTCGTCGCTGGCAAAGATCAATTTTTGTTCCCCCGCCGCCGTTGCCCTCTCAAACCCACGATCATCCGCTGCCCAAACCCACGCTCGCACAGCGCCGCCGTTACCTGCCGTCCTCACCTCCAATGCCGTCGTCTTCTCTGAAGCCCTCCTCGTTCACAGCACCATCATCGCCCCCGCGCCGTCCTCGAATGTCAATTTCCTCCCCCGATCAAATCTGCTTGCCTCCGCTTAGCTAGTCGTCGCCGGCAAAGATCAAAATTTTTTTTTCTATTGATATATAGTTAATGAACGTTTTGAGATGAGTATTTAACTAATTCTGTGTTTCTTTAAGTTTTTGAGACCCGTAACATTTCTTTCAATTAAACTATAAACTAAAAATTACTTTACCAAGATGCCCTTCTAAATTGGAGCACACGTTGTGCACTTGACGGGTTCCGTCAAAAACTTAACATAAGTAGAAGGAAATGGCTTAATTGCCAACATTTGTAGAGTTTAAGGACCTTTTTGTCAAAATTTAAAAAAAAAAAGATGGACCAAAATATCACCTTAAAGAGGTTAGGGACCAATGGTTCAAATTATCTTTTTTTTTATTGAACCCTTCAATTTTTGTTGAGAAAGCAAAAATAAGTTTAGGTCTTGTTCATTTCACCGATTCGAGTTTTCAGTTTTAAATTTTTACAGTAAAAAGCTGTTAAAAAATATCACATCTAACTTTTTCTGTTACAGTAAAAAACTCTCAAAATATGTCACATCTCATCTCGAATTAAAAACTCGAATCTGTGAAGTAAACTAGGCATCGGTGTATCATGTATGCCGTTATCCAGCCACTCACGTGCCTATCTCGTGAAGGATCTCTACAACTCATTGTACTATTGTGTATTATCTATCCACTTTCTTTGAATGAAACGTACACATGATGTATGGCACAAAACTACCAAAAAAAAAAAAAAAACCAAGGTAACCAATCACAAAACCAAACTCCAATCTTTCCCCAACTTGGAAACCCACCATATATGAGAAGCTATTATATCCAATTTTTCTTTTAGTCAAGTATGGCAGTTTCATCACTCTCTTTGAGCTGGGTCTCCACTACCATTTATAGCAAGGTATGAATTTTGTGCATACTGACAAGTCAAATACACATTCTCTCAGAACTTACTAATTAATCTATGCAAACTTTGTGATGTGTTCTAGTTGAATTTGCCTCATTACAATGACTTATCAAGAGCTGCTATTTCTCCACTACATTCGTGTAACAGAATCACATGTTCAGGAGAGAAAGCCTCCAATGGAGAAGGTAAGAAAGAAACAATCTCTGGTTTCTCTCACAAATTCTCCGCATATGAGTAGTTATCTAGCTTAAATTAGAGACACCCACATCAAATTTATTTGAATTTGGCTTTAGAAATCAGGAGTTAATATTTACGCTAGAAATAGGTTTTCTGTCAAATTCGACTTCAGATTCGAATTTTCCAAGTGGACCTTTTTTATGCATGGCGACCTAGTTTTTCATTACAGATTATACAATATGCCTATCTGGAGATATCCAGATATTGTTTGCTCTTCAAAATTGTGCTTTGATAATAGGAGAAGGCTTATTATGAGTTAGACTGTTATCCATTTATTTCCCGTTTTGTCCTCTTTTGATAGACGTACTTTAGCCCTGAATTATTGGGAGCTTTTCTTATAGTCTTTAGCGTTTTGTCCCATAATTTTGATTGAATTAGTGAACTAGCAAGTTATCAAATGACCTGTTTAATTCTAGTAAATTATCCTGTAAATGGAATAAAATGTTGCTTAGTGCCCACGAATCGATCGATGATAGTAAAATTTATAAGAAAACATCATCAAGTGGACATGATATGTTCCAATTATCATTCAAAATTTCAGTCTCTTCCTTTAAACGAGCTCACCATAATGTGTACGAAGGTATTTCCATTTAAATTTTAACTTCTCATCGATTTACTAGGATAGTAATTTGTGAAAATCAAAAGTTTAAAGATACCTTGACCATAGTGAAAAGCTCTACTAATTACAGATGTGCCAAATACTCGTATATATCTTCTAGCTAGATTGACGTGCTACTTACTAATATGTAACAGTGGATTTAATAAATGTAAATTAGATGGTTTATTCAAACTAACTAAAGTTTTCTATGTTTCTTGTATGTTCATGACCTTGGTGCAATTTAGGCCATTGCAGGAGGATAACACTACTACTAGGAGTAGGTGCACTAACTGGAAATCTTCTCCGTGCAAGTTCCCTCTTTGCCGAAGGTATATACATCTTGTTGATGGGATAACAATTGACGATGGTTCTGTTTATGTCACAGATAAGATAGCTTCATAGTTGTTTTATGGATAAAAAATCCTCATTTTGCCTCGACTAATTTTCACCATTGGGCAGAGATACCGGAAAACTATCGATCTTTTGTCGACACCGAAGATGGGTATTCATATTACTACCCGGCAGATTGGAGGGTAAAACAATTACTTAATATGAATGATTAAGTCAAGATTTAGCTGTTAAACAAGAAACAACTATCTTAATCATAATAACCTGTATTCTTTTCTCCATTGTTTAGGACTTTGACTTCAGGGCACATGATTCTGCTTTTAAGGATAGATATCTACAGCTGCAAAATGTTAGGGTCAGATTCATTCCAACAGATAAGAAGGATATCCATGATTTGGGTCCAATGGAAGAGGTAGGAAGTCATTCATATTACTTTGGAGAATACATTAAAATTGTATCAGATTGAGAAAAGTACAATAATTTAACAGAACTTGATAAAAGATTGACAGTTTAGAACTGTGCTCTACTAGTAGGGTATTTTTTTTTTTTTTGAAGAAATTTGGGAGAAAAATTATTCTATTTTTCTTATTTCTTAATTTTCCATAGTGAATGTACAGAGATTAAATAGAAAAGAAGGGGGAATCACAATTCGATATCACCCTTGATTCTAGGCCTAGAAATCAGCAAAAATAAACTAATATTTACAAATAAGGAAATACAAACAATCAGCTAACTGATTGACAATCTGTTTTGCTAATTGAGACGTTTAATTTCATATTTCCACACTCTCCCTCAAGCTGGTGAGTAGATATCAATCATTCCCAGCTTGGAAGTCAAATTCTCAAAAGTGACTCATGATAGAGCCTTTGTGAGAATGTCTGCGGTTTGCAGATTCGTGGGAGTATAAATCATCTTGATTACTCCTTCAATTTTCTCCTTGATGAAGTGCCTGTCGATTTCCACGTGTTTTGTCCTGTCATGATGAACAGGATTCTTTGCAATGTTTATCGCGGCCTGATTATCACAAAACATCTTCATGGAGCCTTCACTGGGATTCTTTAGTTCTTCTAGGAGTCTTTTTAGCCACATTCCTTCGCTAATACCATTGGCCATTGCTTTGAATTCAGCTTCAGCACTGCTTCTAGCTACCACTGATTGTTTCTTACTCCTCCAAGTAACCAAGTTTTCTCACACATAAGTACAATAACCTGAGGTAGATCTTCGATCAGTCACGGAGCTTGCCCAATCTGCATCAGAGAAGATCTTAATGCTCTTATCATGCCCCTTTTTGAAACACAGTCCCTTTCCTGGCGTCATTTTGAGATATATGAGAATCCGGTACACTGCATGAAGATGTTTTTTAGTGGGATTATTCATGAATTGGCTAATCACACTAACTGGGAATCCAATGTCAGGTCTAGTGTGAGATAAGTAGATGAGTTTTCCCACAAGGCGTTGATAACGTCCTTTGTCAACCGGAGCACTTCCCTCTTTCATTCCAATTTTATAGTTTGAATCCATAGGAGTGTCTACTGGTTTGCACCCAAGCATCCCCGTCTCCTTTAGTAAGTCTAGGGTGTACTTTCGTTGGGAAACTGATATGCCCTTCTTTGATCTGGCTATCTCCATGCCAAGAAAATACCTTAGAGCTCCAAGATCCTTGATTTCAAACTCCTTTGCAAGGATTGATTTTAACCAGACCATTTCTTCCTCATTATCACCTGTAAGGATGATGTCATCCACATAAACTATAAGAATAGTGATCTTCCCGCTTGGTGAGTGCTTGAAAATAGCGTGTGATCGGACTGTCCTTGTGAAAATTCATGTTTCTTGACTGCCCTTGTGAATCTGTCAAACCAAGCTCTAGGTGATTGTTTAAGGCCATATAGGGACTTCTTCAGCTTGCACACTTTGTCGGCGTTATTCTCTGTATCAAAGCCTGGTGGAATATCCATGTAGACTTCATCCTCTAAGTCACCATTCAAGAAAACATTTTTCACATCTAACTGATGAAGAGGCCAATCTAAGTTTGCTGCCAAAGACAGCAAGACTCGAACTGTATTCAGTTTAGCCGCTGGGGCAAACGTCTCTTGATAGTCAATTCCATATGTCTGAGTGAATCCCTTTGCTACTAACCGGGCTTTGTATCAATCAATGCTTCCATTTGCTTTATACTTAACATTAGATATCCATTTGGACCATACTGGACGCTTGCCTTCTGGAAGATCTGTCAACTCCCAAGTACAATTTTTTTCTAGGGCATGGATTTCTTCATCAATAGCTTTCTTCCATTCTGGTTGGGTAATTGCTTCTTGTATGCTATTTGGAATGTCAACTTTTGATAGATTGGTGGTGAAGACTTGGTGGCTAGGAGATAATCTATCATAAGATACAAAAGAGGAAATAGGGTGACGTGTGCATGTTCTCACACCTTTCCTATTAGCAATAGGGACATCAAGATCATTACTCAACAATGAATCAGAATGATTATCAGTGTTACTTGAAGGATTGATTTCTAAACTTGGACTCAGATCGGGTTCCTGGCTTTGCTTAGGAAGAATTGGATGCTCTATCCCCTTTTTAGTCTTCAACCTTCTTGAGTACACTTGTCTGCAATCTGTACCAGTTTTGTGGATCAGAAGAGTGTCTGTGATGGAAGGATTTTCAAGTTGAGTTGTTTGAGGAGTGAGCTGTATTGTTTGTAGAGGTTCGGTTGACTCTATTTGTGGAGTTTCGGTTGACTCTATTTGTAGAGGTTCAGTGAATGTCGGATGATCTAGGTCAAACCAAAACTTATATTCTTCTTGAGGGGCATAATTCTCCCCCTGAATATGAGTTTTAGGTAGAATGGTTGGTCTTCAATGAAAGAAACATCCATAGAATTGTAGATCCTCTTGGTGATTGGAGAGTAACACTTGTATCCTTTTTTATTTGATGAGTATCCAAGGAATAAACATTTAACAGCTTTGGGATCAAATTTGCTTCTCAGATGGGAGGGAATACGGACAAACACTGAGCATCCGAACACTTTGAGAGGAAGAGAATAGATCAACCGAGTTGAAGGATAGGCTTGAGAGAGAGTTTGACATGGAGTTTTGAATTTCAGTACCCGAGATGGCATTATGTTGATGAGATATGCTGTTGTAAGTACTGCATCTCCCCAGAAATGTTTTGGAACATTGGAGGTAAACATGAGAGCACGAGCAACTTCAAGAAGATGTCGGTTTTTCCGTTCAGCTATGCCATTTTGTTGAGGGGTAGTTATGCAAGAACTCTGATGCACTATTCCTTTTTCCAGTAAGTATTCCCCAAGAATGGTATTGAAATAATCTTTTACATTGTCTGTTCTAAAGATTTGAACATTGGCTTGAAATTGGTTTTGGATCATGGAATGGAAGTTTTTAAAGATAGGACCTGCCTTTGATTTTTCCTTCATGAGAAATATCCATGTTGTTCTTGTATGATCATCAATAAAGGAGACAAACCACCTTTTCCCTGAGATATTAGTGATGCGAGAAGGACCCCAAATGTCACTGTGGATCATATGGAAAGGATGGGATGCTTTGTAATCATGAGCAGGGAAGGAGTTTCTCACATGTTTTGATAATTGACAAATTTCACATTGAAACAAACTTGGATTTTTATTTCTGAATAATGAAGGAAACAACTTTGACAAATACACAAAGCTAGGATGACCTAATCTATAGTGCCATGACATGATTGCACTATTGTTATTATTGGACTCAGACACTGAAAAAAGATCCCTAATGGATTGACCCACTTTGGCTGGAACAGATACGCATCGAGCATGTTTCTCAAGAATAATTTCAACTTTGAAGAGGTAGAGCCCCGCACAATCCTCAGCATTGCCAATCGTCTTCCCCGAGTCCAAATCCTGAAATTGACAGTGAAAAGGGTAAAATTTAGTAACACAGTTATGATCTTTTGTGAGTTTATTGATGGACAGCAAGTTGCATGTCAGAGTGGGTACTAAAAGGACAGATTTTAGAATAAGATCTTGTGAGATTATTATGGACCCAATACCAGTCACAGAGGATAAGGATCCATCTGCAATGCGAACTTTGTAGTTCTCAGAACAAGGATGATAAGATTGAAATAATGAAGGATCACCCGTCATATGATTGGAGGCGCCTGAGTCGATTATCTACATGTTGGGTTTCTCTGTTTTGACACTCAAGGCATTTGAGAATTTACCTTTTTGGGCTATGGACCCAGTTCCAATGACTGGAGTGGAACCACTAGGTTGCATTTGGTTGAACATCTTTTGAAGAAGGTCGATTTGTTCTTTACTGAATAGAGAGACTTCTAAGTTGGAGGGCTCATCTGTAGTTACAGCAAATCCCCGTTTTTCTCTAGGTTTCTAGTCAGCCGGTTTGCCATGTATCTTCCAGCATGTGTCTTTGGTGTGACCAAGTTTTCTGCAATGGTCGCACCAAGGTCTAGCCTCTTTTCCTTTGTTGTCGAGGCTTGGCGGATTGGCACTGTGAGAGACAAGAGCAGAACCTTCTGTTGTTGTTGGCAGATTGGCTTGGTTCCGTAGCATCACTTTCTTCCTGCTTTCCTCTCTTCGGACCTCAGAAAATGCCTCACGGATAGTTGGAAGAGGCTTGGTACTCATGATTCGACCCTTGACTTCATCAAGATTCTTATTGAGGCCAAGTAAGAACTTGAATATTCGTTTCTTTTCGATTACCTTCTTGTACTTGATGCTATCTCCAAGACTGTCCTATTCCAATTCTTCAAGGATGTCTAGTTGCTGCCAATAACGTGTTAGGGTGTTGAAATATTGAGTGACAGATAGGTCTTCCTGTCTCAAATCATGAAGAATGCTCTCTATATCAAAGATTTCTGCCGTATTGTCATTGTTGGAGTAGGTTTCTTTCACTGCATCCCAAATCTCTTTGGCTGTTCCATAAAACATGAAATTTTCACCAATTTCATTAGTCTGAGCCAAGACATTACCATATTGTTTTTTGTCTTCCAGATTTTGAATTTGGGATCATCCTTCTTTGGTTGTGACGTTGCACCAGTTACATAATCATCTTTACCTTTCCCACAAATGAACATCATAACAGATTGAGTCCATTGGAGATAATTATTGCCGTTGAGTTTGTGCCTAGTGATAGGAAGAAGTGTACCCTCATGCCCTCCTTGAGTAACAACTGGTTGGTCAGAAGATGCTCCGGAAGTAGAGTCCTTATTTCCAGCCATACCGTATTTTGTCATTTTGTTTTTTTTTTTTTTAATGTTCTCTGCCTTTGTTGAAGAGAAACAACAGAACTACAATAGACAGTTTGATGAGAAAAAACGACGGAATGACAATATATGGGCAGCTTGATGAGGAACACTATTAATGAAACAACAAACGACAAAGTTTTGAAGATGTTCTATGGAGAACTACAATGAAGGGCCCAGAACGACGATGAAGAATTCTCAGAGAGATAGTCGACGGTAGTTGCTGGGTCGTCCACGATATTTCCTACGGGGATCGTCGAAGATGGTGATTGACGATTGACGGCTTCGATAAGAGAAATCAGAGGTGCCGTCGATGAAGCTGGCTTCAATCGGAGATGGGTTACGACAGATCAGAGACTGAGAGAGAGACTGACGACGTCGACTAAGAGGAAGGCTGACAGCGTCGGTGATGGCCAGAGGAGATTCGCGACGCCTATCGGAGTTGATTTCCCGTCGGAGGTGGCAAAAATGAAGCCATAGGAGATCGACGGGGAGCGAAATTGATTAGTTTTTCAGAGGGCGCTCTGATACCATGAAGAAATTTGGGAGATAAATTATTCTATTTTTCTTATTTCTTAATTTTCCATAGTGAATGTACAGAGATTAAATAGAAAAGAAGGGGAAATCACAATCCGATATCACCCTTGATTCTAGGCCTAGGAATCAGCAAAAATAAACAAATATTTACAAATAAAGAAATACAAACAATCAGCTAACTAATTGACAATCTGTTTTGCTAATTGAGACGTTTAATTTCATATTTCCACATTTTTCATATTATAATTTTTTGTCCTTCCAAATAAGTCTCAACAACAGATCCGTGACCAGCTTTTGTGTTGGATCAAGCAGGTTGTTCCAGATTTGGTAAAATATAAATTAGCTGCACCCAATCAAGTAGTTACCATTTTTGACATGCAAGAGGTATCAACTATTTGCACCAATTAAATTGGATATCTCTCATTCGAATCTGCAAAATATTTCAGTAACTCCCGGTTACGATTTGCATGCAGAAAAACATTGACGGGAAGAACTACTACACCGTTGAATTCCAACTTACATCCCCAAACTTCGCCGTCACTTCCTTTGCAACTGTCGCGATTGCAAACGGTTAGTATACTGTCTTACGAAGAACATTATATCACTATAGCCAACGAAGTTGTCAATTCCACTCGATGCATATGAAGGAAACTTTATTTGCAAACAAAGTTCAAACTAGAGAAGACAGGAAAGCAATATGAATGAGCAGAATGTAATTGAATATTGCATTTGTGTGAAAACCACCATAGTTGAAAAAGACTCTTTAACTTTGGCGTATAACCATTTCCACAGGAAGATACTACACGCAAATAGTTGTGGCAAATGAAAGACGCTGGAGAAGAGTCCGCAATAAGCTGAAAGTGGTGGCAGACTCTTTCAGGGTGTTGGATATCTAATGAGCTTCTTGCCGGATATCAGTAGTGGATGGTGATTTGTTTTTGTCCTGTTGATTGATTGTTGAAATGCATATTTGGTGTATATATCTTATAAAAAACTTAATTACTACTTCCTACACGTGGGATTTTTTTTCCTCAAGGCTTTAATGTTCTCTCACCAATCCTACATTTTCTTTTGTTGGGTCATGACATGAGATGGGACACCATAATGATGCGTATCACGTGGATAAAATCATTTTTGTGACATAAATCATACCAAGACCTTCCTTTTCAATGGATGGCAGAAACAAATCTGATTGCAAGCGGTAAATTCACACCCTTACCTTTAATATTGAGATCGAGAGCTCAAATCCCTTAACCCCAATTTTTTTTCCCAATAAAAAAAAAAGAGAAAAAAAACAGTTAAAAACTCGTGGGGTTCAAATTGTGTAGAACCTTATCTTGCTTAATACGATGTAACGAGATAAAATAAAGCATACATGATATGGTTAACCAGTTATAAAGCAGTAAATACAAACTTCACGCATGACCTTGAAATAAAAAAAAAGGGCATATAGGTTTATTACAAGGCGCCAAAAAAAATCTTTAAGATTAACTTATGTATGGTATGGTGGGACGTATTTCAACTCATGGGGATCAAATATGCAAAAATGATAGCATTAAATCTTGTATATATTTACAAAAGTTACAACGGCTTTTCTGTTCCTCCTAATTTTAAACGGTTTTCACAAAGGGAAGAAAATCTTACACAAGAATTAAATTCATCCAAACTGCTGGGGGAGCAAAGTCAAACGTTCATTAGAAACACACCTCACTAGAAGAACTATAATTAATTAATTCCACCTCATTTTCTGGTTGAAAAATAAATCAATATACCATGGAGACTAAGCACAACCGCACCCGAAAGATGCCCGTCTCCTAAAGAATAAGCATCCAGCCCTGAGTGTAGAGCCTCAAAGCGAACCAAACTCCAAAACCCTACTTTCTAAACCCTACATTTTGAACACTAAAAGCTACCGTTGCCGCCTTTGCATTCTGCCCACTCACCCTGCCATTATAAACATTGTTACAAGTGTCACCAACCTCATTCTCCTCTGCCCACTCTGGAAAGTCCCACCAACTGAAATTCCAGAACAAAGCCGCCAGGTTGAGGTATTTCCAGCATTTCAAAATTAGAGAATGAGAACCCAGATGAATCAAACAGTGTCCAAAGATCACAATCTCATCTTATACAAGTCGATGCTGACGCAAACCCTTCCCAAAGTGAGGTTGCATCAACTGAACATATAGACCATTCTTCGCCACCAAAGAATCATGAGTTCCTTCCTCCACAATTCGCCCGCCATTAAGAACTACGATGTTGTCAACATGCCTCATCATTGCAGCTCTATGAGCTATCAAAATGGTGGTTTTGTTCCCCATGATCAACGTATCAAGAGCCTCCTGCACCACACGGCTTGACTCAGATTCAATTGATGAGCTTGCTTCATCCAACAATAAGATTGGTGCATTCTTCAGCACAACACGAGCAATAGCAATTCTCTGCTTCTGTCCAGGAGTCAGGTCTACACCCCTCATCCCAACATGTGTGTCATAACCATGAGGCAAGCTGCTAATAAAATGGTGGGCGTTCGCAATTCTCGCAGCCTCTTTCATCTCGGCTTCACTTGCATTATGCCTCGCGTATATGATATTTTCCCTTATGGTTGTTGAGAAGATTATGGGCTCCTGCTGGACAAGACCAAGGTGATTTCTCAACCATCGCAAATTATATTGCTTCAAATCTCGCCCATCAAGTAACACCTGACCTGCAACAGGATCATAAAATCTCTCGATCAAGGAAATTATAGTGCTCTTTCCAGATCCGGAAACACCAACCACGGCTACAGTTTGTCCTCCATTGACTTTTAGACTAAAATTACTGAGTACCAACACTTCTGGGCGAGTTGGATAACAAAAATCAACATTTTTCAACTCGATGCTTCCATAGACATTAGGTGGCTTCATTGCTGAATTATCATCTGGGTCAATCTTAGGCACTCGATCAATGATTTCAAACACCGAAAGGAGAGACTTACGGCGTTTAAGTATGTATGGAGCCAATCCAAAAGGCTCCACCAGAGCAAATGTTGCAAATGAGAAAACCATATATTCCTTGAGAGCAGTCGACAGCTCCATGTACCCATGCTTTACGGAGTAGGCAGTATACCAGAGGAGAAGGGCATTGCTAGCAAAAAGAAGAAACTGTGAAACACCAAATAAAAAGCCAATGGCCATTCCTTTGAGGAAACTCTGCGTAAATATTTTCTTTAGCTGTAGTCTGTAGAGCTCCATCACCTTGTTACCAGCACAGAACGCTACAACAGTGTATATATTTCTAACCGCATCCTCAAGAACCAAAGATGCCTTCCTATGCATCTCCTGGATGCCCCGTGAAAATCCAGCAAGCCATAATTTCTGCCATGTTGACAATGAAGATGTTAACAAATTGGAGAAGAAATGACAAAGCTAGTGTATCATGCTTCATATATAAACAAAAAAATACAAATAAATCATGCAAGTGAAATTCAAGTCGCCACATAATTCTTAATATCTAGAGAATTCAACATATTATCGTGGCAGTTTTATCAAAACCAGGAGAACGAATGGAATTTGTTTTACTGATTAAAGAAATTAATAGAAGTTTACATTAATTCGTTTTGAAAACAAAAAAAACAAAAAAAACAAAAAAAACAAAAAAAACAAAAAAAACAAAAAAAAAACAAAAAACAAAATGAAAACAAAAAAACAAAAAACAAAAACAAAACAAAAGAAAGATAATGGGGCCAAACAAACAAGACCAAACAGCAAGAAGTATAACCTTACTTTATATACTAAACAACAAAATTAACGAAGTAGAAGGGTAGGTGGAAGTACTATCTAAAGAAACATAAAGGGAATTCAAAATTTTCTATGATCCTACATTAAATCAAGACTAATTATCAAAGAAATTTGTAATGCAAAAACCAGAATGCATTTAGTTGCTATAGGGAGACACTGAAACGAATTCACGTTAAGCTCCTTAAAGTTAATTACATCAAATAAGTTGGCCCTCATCCACAACATGAGAACCATAAGAATTGCCGTTGTGCAAAACTAACCAATACACAGGCAACCACCCCATTGATAAAAGGTCAAAGAACCTCAATTTATAAAGGAGGGGGGGAGGACCAAAGGATCCAGTTGATTCATATGGCATGGACACAAATAAAAATGAATATATATGTGTTGATCCATCGTAGATTAACCACCAAAAAAAAAAGGACAACAAACTTCTCAGAAAATAAGGTCATATGACAAAAACCTGTGCGATAGCAGAGATGGTGAGAAATGGTAGAGTTGCCAAAGCCACTAGTGCATATCGCCATTGTAGCAGCATCCCAATAAGAAGAGCCACAATAACAGCAGCACTATCCTGTATGAATATGGAGAGCCGGTTACTAAAAGCAGCTCGCACAAATGTAGCGTCATTTGCCAGGCGCATGGATAAGGTATCAGCACTATTATCCTCTTCATCAAACCACCCAACTTCATTGCGAAGCATTGCTGTCACATAACAGAAACAGATAATGTAAAGTTCCAAGAAGTAACCTTGAGAATATTGCAAAGAAAATAAAGAAAGAGTCGTGCACCTGAGAACATCATTCTCCTAACTCGTTCGGTCATTTTCTCCCCCATGATACCAAAGTAGAAATGCTGCAAAAAGTTGGCAACAACTGTAACAATACCCATGCAAGCGATGATCAAACACCATTTGTCTACTTCCTTCCTTAAGTGATGGGCTTCATCAACTCTATAGTATGCTGTCACAATCAATGCAATGACATAAGCAAGAAGAGGATTGAAAGAACCAAAGATGGCAGCACCAATGCTTCCCAATACAGCATAAAGCCATTCCGCAAAACTAAGCTCTGCAAGCCTCCAAAATGATGGGGCCTCCTTCCGGGTGTCCTTTGCTTCATTCACTTTTGTTGGAATATCATCCGAATGACTATGTGGTCGGCTAAAAGTCTGTGAATGGGACCGTTCATTCTTGGGGTCAGATGTCAAAAGAGGTGAAACAGGCGATTCAGGATCCGAGCCATTTGATGTTTGCCGATGTGCAGCATGGACATCAATTTTGGGTAATTCTGGTAGTCTCATTTCAAAACTATCCTGCCTTATTATCGTCGGTTCCTTATCGACTCCATCCAACGTCTGCCCATTTTCCATTATTTTCTCTGCTGGTGGACTCCGAACTTTTGGTGATTCCTGTGAGTTAAAGGTGCCATCTGTTGGCCGAAATATTCCAGGAACCCTCTGTAGTGAGGGTGATTTGACCATTTTCGGAGATGATGGTTCTTGAAAGCTGTGACTTGCTGAAGAATCTTTTTCAATTTGGAAGGCTGCAGTCTCCTTGTAATTTCTCACTGGCATCCTGCACGAGAAGCGTAGTCCATAATGATGTTCTTGATGTCAAGAAAAACAAAACTTTCCTCTCAACTAATAAGATGCACTCGGCAATACATAACCTAAATACTCGACATAATCTTTGCCACGTGAAATAAAAACCCTCAACAAGCTTGGAAAAAGCTTAGTTTTCTCTTACCTCCGAGGAAGTTTAGCAGCTTCTTCACATTTCAGCAGCTCAGCATATAGACCATCAAGGTTCAACAACTCATCATGTGTACCCATTTCAACAAGTTGACCCTCCTCCATTACAGCTATGTAATCAGCATTCCTTATAAGACTAAGCCGTCGAGCAATTATTATAGTTGAGCGACCCAACATTAGGAGATCCAGAGCCTCTTGGACAGTTCTTTCAGCTTCAAAATCAAGTCCGCCAGTAACCTCATCAAGTAGAAGAATTGATGGATTTAAAAGTACTGCTCTAGCAATTGAAAGTTTTATCTTTTGCTCTTCTGTCAGAGGCAAACCAGCTCTCCCCACCTGAAATGAATAACAATAACAAAGAAAATCTTAAAAAGAAAATTAAAAAAAAAAAACAAAACAAAACAAAACAAAACAAATGCAAAAAGACACAAGGAAAATGTGTTTGTGTGTGTGTGTGTGTGTTATCAAGAAAAACAAAAGTAATAACATTTATCTTGTCTTAAAAGATTTACCTGAGTCTCGTATCCTTTCTCAAGGGAGCTAATAAATGTATGCGCATGTGCTATTTTAGCAGCCTCTTCAATTTGATCAAATGTAGCATCCCGCCCATAAGCAATATTATCTCTTATACTCAAACTCAGTAAGGCAGGTTCCTGTGTGACTAATCCTATCTGGCTTCTAAGCCATTCCAATTTCAAGTTTTTTATATTTTCTCCATCCAAAAGAACTTCCCCTGCAGCAAGAGATGGAGACCCCGTTAAAATGAGTGAGCACTGAGCAGAAAGTTATGACTAAGAACCTTGAAAAATATGGCACAAATACCCTCTAGAGCAAGAAGACAAGGATATCATACCTAATGTAGGATCATAAAACCGTTCCATGAGAGGAATAATACTGCTCTTTCCAGATCCATTTCTGCCAACAAGTGCAACCGCTTTCTTAGCAGGGACAGTGAGGTAGAAACCACTCAAAATAGGGATCTCAGGACGGGAAAGATAGCTGAAATATACATTCCGGAACTCAATATTTCCTTGAACAGATGGAAGAGTCGTTCCCTCTTGATTAACTGTAGAGGACGAGCGGCTTATCATCTCAAAAAGTCTATAAGCAGCAATTCGCCCTTGATCAAATGAATAGAAGTTTGTTGCTGCTTGATTCAGCCCACTATAGAGATGCAAGAAATCATGCATAAGGAAAATTGCAGAAACTATATTAGTGCATATCTGAAGAAAATAGAACATTGGGAAAAATAGAAGAAGCTTACAGGCCGCTCAAAATTACAGCAAACAGGGCTGTTACAATTTCACCACCATGAGCTTTTCCATGCACAACAAGGATCCTTCCAACCCACAGTTGTAAGGCACATGAACAAATTGCAAGCCCATATGTAAATCCAAGTCCAAGTCCTTGAACAAGACTGATCAATATACCATATCTCAGGGTTGCTTGTAGTGATGTTGCGTAAGAGTACTTGGCCAATGTTTCATTTGTAAATGCATACAATGTCCTAATATACGAGACAGCCTGCATAATCAATGGATTCACGTTTCATCAGCATTGGATTTCACTGCTTTGCAAGAAACATAGCAACTGTTATAAATTCAAATCCTTTAAATACTCTTGAACCACCAATGTGCCATGTTATAACGAAAAAAAACTTTAAATCAGATGCCTTACCACTGAACATTTCACTACTCTTATTGTCAAGCTCTAATAATTAAAAAGGAGCGTACTTTTTTTATTATTGAAGGTAGAGCATTTTGGTCAGCTAAAAAATCAGTTTTTGCTAAATAGATGAAAACCTTTGATATAAAAACACAAACCTGTTCAGCTATGCTAGCTGCTTCAGCATATGCATCTTGAATATTCTCAGCTAGCCTATGGAGAAATATATTTGATATTCCTCCAGCTGCGACAATAAACGGACCTGTGGCTAATGTTATAAGGGCAATCTGCCAACAGTTAACAAATCCAATAACAAGACCAGTGAAAAATGTAGCCATGTTGTGAACATAATTTCCAACCTGTATTATCAGAGGACAAAGGAAAAAAATTAAACGAGTCACATTAATCAATAGTTTGTAGAGGAAAGCTGTCAAATTTCAAAACAATAAAAAAAGGTATAGCCTAATCAATTAATATTAACATACTTTTTCACTCAAAGCAGATTGAATAAGCAGCACGTCACTCAATACTTGGCTCACAATATCTCCGTTGTTCCCATAAGTATCAAAAAAGCTCATATCCTGGTTTAATAATACTTGCACATATTTTGACCTGATGACAGCAGTCTGACGTTCCCCAGTCAAAATCCAGCAAGAGACCTCTATAACGCAAAAGAAGTTTTCATGTAAGTGCGGAATAAGTACAGTCTATGGTACACTGGCAGAGATGCAGTAACAATTGTTGTTTTTGAAATATTTAACCTTACCAATCCAACCGGCACAGAAAACAGCTGTAGCAATGTAAACAATGATTAAAGCAAGCTGCCATCAAAACAATAAGACAGTTATCAAAACAAGATTCATATCTTCAAATTACAGATCACTAGTAAAACGAAACCCTGAGGTAGTAACTGAAGACCATAGATTACAAGTAAAAATTACAGCAAAGGGGAGCACAACCACCTTTCTATTTGTAGATATATCTATTAGCCATGCTATATTCCGATTACCATTTGACAAAGATGTATTTCTTCAGAACTTCAGACCCCAAAAAACCAAACAATTCCTAAGAATCTCTTTGGAAATTTCTAGTAATGTTCTGTTTCTTAAAACAATTTCACGTCGATATTAAGGCCAAAATGGAACAGTGATTTCTTCAGTTCGCACAAGCATAAGGTGTTTACATGCTTTTCTCCGTGTCGCCAGCATTACCCTTCCTCCGCCCCGACAGAAGAATGAATTATTCCATGCCTTATAACTTATTAACTTAGAAAACATTAGGGGACATGCAATTAAAACGAAATACTAGGCCCAAGAATTACTAAACAATGGAAATAAATGATTTAATAAATGCTAATACTAGGCCTCCTACTATTCTTAGTAGCGAAGTGATCCAGCTAAAGAGTGGAAAAGAAAACAATCATCGACAGTCCCGTGAAGAGCCACAATCCAAACTTCACTGGGTAAAAATATCAACTTTAAACTTAAAAAGAGTAACCATCCCAAGTGTTCCTTAGCAACACTTGCGACATAAAGCAAATTCAACTCTCAAGGAGCGTATAACAAGAAAAACTTGAACACTTGATTGATGAGCATAATATCACCTGAATCCCACTAAAATAACACTTGCAGTTCCACACTAACCAAACTGAAAATTCTATCAAAAATGGAGAATTTAATAGAACGAAGAAGAATCTTGACAAGCATAATTTCACCTGAACCCCGTAAAATAACACTTGCAGTTCTACACTAACCAAACTGAAAACCCAATCAAAAATGGAAAATTTAATAGAACAGTACGCGGAATTACTATAGGGAAGATGATCGTCAGAGCATATAGAGCTAGAAGCGTTAACAACAACAACTAAACAACAATCCAAAATTTCATGCTTTTAGCTTACTTCAGCGAAGCTTATCGGGACGGGTCATTTTCTCGGTAACCAAACGGAACTAGAAGAAAAAGGGGAAAATAATTTTGAGAACTTAGGGTTTCGAAGAAGAAAAAAAAAAAAAAACAAAGTTTAAAGCTTACGTCGATGAACTTCTGATGCTGGTCATCGCTGTAATGAAGCGGAAGCTTGCCGTCGATCCATTGGACCTGGATAATCTTTGCGAAGTAGTGCAAGTAGACGACAAGGGCGGCGCCGTGGGCGGCGGCAGCGAGGGATCCGACGAACATGAGGAACCAATCGAGGCGGTCGGCACAGGCGAAGAGGCGGGAGAAAGGGACGGCGGCGGGCGGCGGCTCGATCTCATCGGGCTCCTCGATCTCCTCCTCCGGCTCGACCGGCTGCCCCGACGTCTCGGCGCTGGCGTCAAGGTACGGCGACGGTGACTCCGGCGGCTCGGACACCTCCGACACCGGCGTCAACGGCTGTATGTGAGGAGGGGACCATCCGAAGAGCCCCCTCGAGATCATCATCTTCGACGAGAGAGACGAATCGCCCAGAAAATCGCAGAAATTTCACAGAAATCAAATTCTTATCCCCAGCTGAAAAACCCTAAAATCCTGTTTTCTTCCTCCCTCTAAATTGAGCGGGATCTGCCTGCTGCTAAATTTAGAGGCAGAAGACAGAAGATGGGACCAAAAATGAAATGAAAGGAGGAAAGAGCAAAAAATAAAATTAAAAATGAAAATAAAAACTTTCTTTGCTTATTACTTGTTCATGGTCCGTTGTTCTGTGCTTTTTACTTGTTCTTTCTTTTTTCTCTCTTTTGTTTTTTTTTTTTTTTTTTCCCTTCTCCAAGTAAAAGGCACAGAGAAAAAGGGTCGTCGCAGGTGGGTGGGACTGGGTCAAAGAAGGCGGAGAGAGAAAGATAGGAGATAGAGAGAGAAGGATTGACTCACCTCCAGTGACACGTAAACAAAATAAAGAACTAATTAAGCCCGTTTATTTTACCGATTTAAATTTTATTACAGTAAAAAACTCTCAGAAATAATTACATTTAATATTTTTATTATAGTAAAAAACTCTAATATAAAGTCACATCTCAACTTGAATTAAAAACTCGAATAAGCGAACTAAACGAGCTCTAAAAAATAAATAAGGTCATGTTCATTTCATTGATTCAAGTTTAAAATTTTTAGTTTTGTTGCAGTAAAAAGTTCTCAGAAACAATCACATCTAACTTTTTTATTACAGTAAAAAACTCTCACATAAAATCACATTTCAACTCGAATCAGTAAATTAAACAGACCCTAAATACATGATTTCTTAAACAAATAATAATTTCTTACCTCTGTTTATTATTTTGTTGAAAACTTACTTCCTATGTTTTTTTAGAAATTGTGTTAATATGAGAAAAAAAAACTTAGGTCTCATTCATTTCATCAATTCAAGTTTAAAATTCAAACAGTCACGTCTAATTTTTCTACTATAGTAAAAAGCTCTCATATAAAGTCACATCTTAACTCGAATCAACAAATTAAACAGCCTTAAATCTCTTTTTTTTTTTAAATAGGCAATTGTATTCCAAATTAAAGAGATATACACTAATACTAATCTTATTACACACATATTTAATTCTAACAACAAATCAATTCTACAAGTGCAATCTAACGAAGTATAAAATGGTGAAAAATGTGCGTCTAGTTCTCATAATAAGAAAATGGAAAGACACGCTAATATTAAGCTCTTAAGTGACTCTTTTAACATCACCTTAACAATAGTTGAAAACTCCAATCAGTCAAGACCAAGGGACCAAATCTTATTTTGATCAATGACTTTAAATATTCCAAAAGCTTCCATTTTACAAAATCTTTCAAATTAGTATTTTTTGTTCAACTAAAAAAAAACACAGGGAGGTTTTACGGTGAAGCAGGCTATTTTGCTCCATCGATGAGGCAAGTGTTTTTACCATTAAGATTAATTTTTCAACCATCAGATCTACAGTAGTAGCAGTTCTATGTGGCCCGCTGTAAATTTTTAATACGAATCTGCACATTGTCAGGATCCGGTAGATTTGGAGGGTTGACGTGTCGAGAGTTGACATGCGTAAGCACAGGGTTTGTTAGAAGTGGATCTGACATGGTCGAGCTTTGATGTGGATGATGATGGCGGGACCTTCGACGAAGAAGTGGGGTCGGTTAGGCCCAAATTAAGTTGAAGGACGCATGATGAAAATGCCCTGCAAAATACATTAGAGAATTCGCAAAAACAAATAAAAGAACTCCGGAGATGAAGAATGGTAAGAGGTGCGACCAAGTAGTCGACGGAGATGGAGAAAATGATGCCAAAGGTGCCTTGATAGAGCAGTGCTCTGGAGACAAGCATGAGCTAATCCAGAAGTGAAGATGGTGACTTGAGTGGTGGATAAGGCTTGGAGGAGAGTGAGAGTGAAGTTGGTGAGGTGGACAAGGCTCTGGTGAAAAGAACTTTAAGAGCAACGCATATTGCTCTGGAAGTGAGAACAACTCTTGGAGCACTTGCTCTGACTGTGAACGGAAGTGGCCCCAAAGATAAAGAGTTGGATGTTGTTAGAAAATGTATGAAGAAACTTCGAAAAGTTTTAAGATGGTAGTAAAAATGGATCGAACAGTGTTTTAGAAAGGTTTTCAAGGCTGTCAATACTTGAGGCTTTGAAGGACTTTGAAGAGCTTGAAGAACCTCAAGTCTTTATAGCAAAAGACTAGCAATCCCGATGGAGCAAAGCTCTCTAAAACCTTTCCAGAGTTGAAGGGGAGATTAGCCGAAAAAGCAATGAAGACTTATGGGAACTTGCTCCAGGGATGAATCGACGGCACTCTGAAGGAAGCATGCATGCGCGATCCAAAGGAGCAAAGTCATCAGAAGGCTTTCCGGGGTAGAAAAAGAGCTGGCCCAAAAATGGAAAGAAATGTTCATGGTGGTTGCTCTGAAGCCCAATCGGCAGCGCTCTGATGGAGACTGCACACGCAATTCCCTTTAAAGCAAAGTGACCAGGTGACTTTCCAGATTGACAAAGAAAAGTTTCGAAAATGGAAAGACTTTGAGGCAAAGCTCTGGATTTAAAGATGGCGTGAAAAGTTCCAAGGTCTGAAATTCTCAAGAATGTTTGACCCAACTTCGTGCTTTGTTGACTTCCTCTTTCAGAGGTCTAATCACATGTCAGACCTTGTCAGAGATGGTTTATACGATATTGGCTAAGCAGCTGTCAAGTTGGCTCTGACATGAAAGTTGCTCCAACAATGACCATGCTCATGACGAAGGCTGCTCCAAAGGGTAACCGTGCTCCAAGCGAAGGTTGCTCCAATGGTGAGCTAGGTGAGAAGAAGTCTAAAGGAATGATGCCTGACACGGAAAAGGCTCTGTTAGGCACACTTGGACATGAAAAGGATGCTCCGGGAGACATGCCTACCACGGAGGGAGCCTCCATTAGGCATGTCTAGCGCAGGTAGAGCCTTCGTTGGAGTCAAAACACTGAGAATCAATCTTGACGAAGAAGAAGATGTTCTAAGGCTTGGACTTAGGAATTTTGGGCTTCCAAAAGGATGAGAGGAAGGCTTTTTAGGAATTCTCCATTACCCATTTGTATTTAATTCGATTAATTCTGAAAACTCCAAAAGCGGAATTCAAATTAGATCGAATTAAACGACAAATGGGCATACTTGATAACACATGGCCCACCAAACCACAACTCACAGAAGTTCCCTGAGAGTGGCTTGGGTCCACGAAGCGAGCCCAATAACGTCGTGTGACGTCATGGTTGGGCCTAGACCCTCGAATTGAGCTTGGTATAAAATTGGGTATCAACACACATATATGATCATTAAAAAACTAGTCAAACAGCTGAAAATACTTGCCTCACTGGTGGAGCAAAATAAATTGCTCTACCGTAAAGATTCTTTTTTCTGCATTATGACCTGAGACCATCTACAATGTAAATGTTAATGTCAATTGTATATTTAACATCAAAAAGTAGGGAGATTCTTTGATACGTGGCCAGATCTTTCTAACCGTTAGATTTACGTACTTTTTGACTTTTACGTGATTTTATGCAGATCCGACGGACATAAAACTTGACCTATCAATATGTTGATGTACTGGAGAAGGTACCACCCAAAAAGTATAATATGATATGTTATTTTTATTTTTACTCCAATGCATAATGCTATTTGAAATGCTAAATTTACTTTTTTTTTCTATAAATCATTAAGCTTTTAAAGTTGTAAAATTAAACTTTTATTTTTAAAATAATTAAAAAAAATGCAATAGTTGCAATGAGTATATAAAAAAGTAAACATTTCAATCAATAGTAATTAAATGTTAAATTTCACACATGATATACTTGATAAGAAATTTGTCACAAAATATAGCATATGATAAACTTAGCACAACAAATGCATTGAATTGGAGAGTATTTTTTAGACTTAAAAGTTAAATATGTAATTAGCACATCAATTATAGTATTGTATCGAAAATGTTCTAAAAAAACCTTACTTTTTATTAGATTTTAAAATTAAAAGGATAAATTAATATTAATTTAAGATAATTTAATAAATTATGAACTCGCTGTGGGTTTTAAAAGTCATGGATGAAATTAAGCTTTTGTGAAATATAAACGTGTCGCATTTTTTTTTTTTTTTGAAGTTTTAAAGTAAAATCCACGTTTTTTAATTAAAAAAAATACAGAAGAAGTTTTCTTTAATTATTATGTTTAAAAAGGAAAAAAAAAAAAAAAACTTTTCTTTTGATTATTGCTAATGCTATTGGCGCTTCTAGATTTATGTTATTTTTCTTTATCTTTTGGCCGTTGAGTTAGGTTAACGGTCAAACGCCGGCTATTGACGCCGACGATGATTCGTGATAATTGGCTTGTACAGGACAGCCATGAGCGACCTGGACCGGACTGGACTGACATGTGTTTTGGGCTTTTTTTTTTGTTGGTAAATGTGTTGACAGCTGTAACGGAAGTGGTTGAAATTACTTTCATGTCCTTGTTGGGGCTCTGGGTATCTGACACGTGTTTTTTCTATGCTATCCATGGGGAGGTTAGAGTTTAAAAGAATCATAGCAAAAAAATAAAATTAAATAAAATTAAATTAAATTAAAGGAAAATTTGGGGGGTTTCAGGGACATCATTGAGAGAGGGGCGGAGGGCACAAGCTTTTTAGCTGCCAGTCCATTTGCTCTGTTCCCCCAACACTTTTTTATTTCATTTTTTAAAAAATAGGTTATTTATTTATTTATTTATTTATTTTTTTTCATTTGCCTTTTATGAGCTTGCTAGGCTGCTACCATTTGTTTATTGCATTAATGTGGCCAATCTCTATTTTGTTTTTTTCTTTTTTATAAAGAGTTCTTTAAGTTTTTACTTTTTTCTTTAATAAGAGAGATTCTTTAGTTTGGTTGGTCTATAGAATTTGTTGATAACAAGTAGTGTTTGGCTCATTATGTATGCAAGTTAAAAACGGGGGGTTTTTTTTTTTGGGTTATTTTTAAGTTGGTGTTGCCTTCTTTTCCAATAAGTTTGAATGTTTGATAGTTGCAAAAATGCATCGAAAGAAATTCACTCCTGTTAGGCGAAATTGACATCGCCTTTCAACCTTAGAGAAAAGTGTTTTCTTTCTTATATTTTTGAAGTTTAAATAATCATTGAATCCCATGGTATTATATGAAAAACAAAAATTTATAATAAGACGCAGTTTTAAACTTTCAAAGTTATTATAGAATTATATCAGATTAGAAACAAAATGATAGAACTCGATAAAAATTAATAATTCAAAATTGTGCCTACTAGTCAGTGGGTTTTTTCTCTCCCTTATCGTACAAAAAATTGTCTCGTATTCTCATTCAACATCTAGCTTGATATATAGGACGTGTGAACCAATTATGAAAATATCAATATCTAAATTTTACTACAACTTGAAAAATATATATATTACTATTGACAAAGAGTAGTCGTAGATAAAACTTTCAATCAAATGCTAATTATATAATAAATATGCTTAATAAGAAGTTATTGTAATACGATTTATGTCATCGATACATTTACAAAATTATTTAGAATAATTGAAAAATATGTTATATTACTGAAAGCCTAAATACAGGTACCTTATATTTATATACATAAAAAAAATTGGTAAGAACAAATCTGTAAATAAATATACACTTGTAACCAAAATTTTGCTGGTATTTATCTAAAAATATCAACAAAATGTTAGTAAATCACACTATATTTTTCTTATCATGATTTATAATTTTTATAAAATACTGCTATTTAATGATGTTTTTTCCAATGTTTTTTGATATCCTAGACTATATTTTACGAGAAAAATAGCAATCACTCTCTTAAATCTCAGTTTTCTTTTCTTTCTTTTTTTCTTTTTGAATTTAAGGTGGAAAATTAAACTCTACACATTAAGGTAAAGTTAAGTGTTGAATTACAAATAATTAAATTATGTTTGCAACCACTTAAATATTGATATTTAGTAGTGTTAAAAACCGAATGTTTTACCAAAATTTCCATTTTTTTTTTTTTCATTTTTGGTAGGAAGTAAAAGTTAAACATTGGTTCCTTGCTTTCATGCATTGAATAGTCCAAATTACTCATGAACAAACGAAAGTGATTTCATAAAACAATATTCATAGATGCATTTCAACAATTACATGGGTGGGTATTATGTGGTATATATATTTAGCAACAAATTATTCATTACAACAGAAAAAAATCAAACTAATTTTAAAAGAAGTCTTTTTTGTCGAAAGCTACAAAACAGAAAGGGAAGAACACGTCAGCGAATGTCTATTTGATGAGTTGATATGGACCATTTCAACCCCTTTTTCTTCCTTAGTTATAAAAAGGCCTCGTTCACTTTACGGATTCGAGCTTTCAATTCAAGTTGAGATGTTACATTTTCTGAGAGCTTTTCACTGTAGCAGAAAAAGTTAGATGTGACATTTTTTGAGAGCTTTTTACTGTAGAAACCTAAAATTAAAAACTCGAATCGGTGAAATGAACGATGCCAAAATGGTTTAAATGCAAAATTTAAATATGCATCCATATGATCGTGGTGACAGCTTGGGAATCATGGGAAAAAGCTGCACTGTACCTAATTACGTAACAAGTGTTATCTAGGCATAATTACATAATAAGTTATTTTCAATTGGGAGAGTAATATTTAGATTTGCGAAATGAGTTTATATATGCTCATTCAATCAATTATTCATCAAACATTTATCATCCCACGAAAGATAATTTCTGTCACATGCATCCAGACTTATATTCAATAATTCCAATAAATATTTCATAGTATAACAACCAACATGAATATGGGAAGTCATTGGTGTATACATACGTTTAACTGAAGTAGATAATCTCATGAGGAAGTTGTTGGACATTAAATGTTTTTTTTTTTTCTTTTCATTTGTAGTTTAAAAGTTTGAAACTTTGTACTTTATGAGACTTGTACTTCATCACTTTTAGAGAAAGTAAATTATTACAATGATAATTAGGTCCGTTGAAAGTAAGTAATAGTACAAACAAGAAAATTCACAAAAATTTTACCTGAAGATAAAATTAATGAACACACGTTTTGGTCATGTAACCCTATGGAATTTGGGATGTTTATATCAACAGCAAGATAGTAGATCTCCCTTTATTTATTTTTTTTAAATATAACTTTTTATTTGTGATTTGCTAATGACCCACGCATGCATAAGTCTGTGCTAAATGGACGAGTTTTATCTTTTTATCGGTGGTTACAATTAAATATAAAAATATGATAATGTAGTGTGTTAATAATTTAATTTTATTGACTGTCATAAATTTTTTTAATCAATTATCAACCATTAGATTAATATTTTATAATTAAAGTAAATGTCATCGATAATTAAATACTGGAGTGGAGTAACTATTTATATTGATAACTATAGTCACTATTTTTTTTTTCCTTTTGATAGCTATACAAATAATCAGTTCCCTCAAAAAGTAAAAGGGATAATCACATAATTGCTCAAAGCAAAGAAACAAGAGAATAACCCATAATGCACAGGGGCGTAACACTCGTCAGTGCATGACAAAAATAATTGAAAAAAAGAAGAAAAATAGGTCATAATAATTAATAAGTCTCTGAAAAGGAAAATAAAATGTCATAGGCGTGGCTGTTGATGATTTTGCAGGTAGTTATCAAAAGGAAAAAAAAAAAAAAAAAGTGTAGCCCCCCTAAAAAAGAAGTTAAAAAATAAGGAAAATATTTAAGTCAATTGTAATTTCAATTCGCCTATTCTCATTACTCATATACCTGACCTTTAAAAATGTGCAGGTACTTTTAAAACTTGATTTTAAAACAAAATTCATATGAAGGAAATATTTCATCCTACTGTGGTTTTGAAGCAAAAAAGATGGTGACATTAAGCGAATTTAGGAGGAGAAAAAAAGAGAATTTTGGGTTGCTTGATAGAGAGAAAATTAGGAAGAAAATAAATTGTAAATATATGGTGCTATTATTTTTTTAATTCTTCCAAATTTAAAAAGAAAATATAAAAGAACATATTTGACAAAACAAATATTTTTATTTGGATATAAGGGTATAATTACAAAATATACCATATTTGACAATTCTTTTCAACTTTTCTTTCTCTTCTATCAAATAATATTTTCCTGACCTTTATATACTTATTCTCCTTCCTTTCTATTTTCCACCCCAAACATATCATAAGTTTGACTTCCAAAAAAAAAAAGAAAAAAGAAAAAAAAAAGGTATAGACCCTGAAAAAGAAAGGCTAAAAACTTAATTGGTAATTTCCATTCTTTTATTCTTATAGAAATGTGCATGTAACATTTAAAACTTGATTTTTTTTTTCAAGTGTAGGTACTGTACCAGTGTGGGTCCCACGCAAATCCAACTAACAATTACAAACCCATAAACAACGTGTGTCAAGGAGTGTAAACAGATAAGTTGTGTTGTAGTTGTCTACACAAAGAAAAACAAAAGATAAGGTGTAGGACTACACAAGTAGCCATAAACAAGAGTTTTTCTGGTTCACACTCACTCAACAGGCACAGGGCAGCCATGTCCATCATGCAAAACTCCCCCTCCATCAATCATTATCACACTCTATTTCTCAACTCTTTCCCTCAGGTTTGATCTACTCCTTTTCTTCTTCTTTTTTTCCTCTTTTTTTTAATTTTTAATTTTTTTTTCCTGGTAATAATAATGAAAATGTAATTTGGGGTTGGATTTGGTGGGCTCAGTTGCAGAAGCAGCAAACTGCTTTATCTTGTTGTAGAAGAAGGCTCTCACTTATGGTCAGGGCCCAGCAGGCACCAATCTCTCCGAACTGGTCTTCTTCTCAAGGTTACCTTTTAATTTTTTTAATTTTTTTAGTTGTTGTTGTCTTTTGGGATTTGAATATTTGCTTTGCCTTTAGGCTTTATTATTATTATTATTATTATTATTATTATTATTATTATTATACTGGCTGTTTTCCTTATTTGCATGTGCAATTCAGTGAAAGCTATCAATGATGGAACTTTAAGCATCAGCCCATTTCCTTTTTTTTCCCCCCCTTTTTTGGGTGATGAAAAATGAAATTTTTTTAGCCAGTTCATATATGACTGGACTTTTCTGTCTTTGCAGTTGATTGGCATTCATGCAGAGCAATGAATTTTGCTAAATTAGTTGACATTTAGGAAAGAGAGTTCACCTCTGAATTGGGCCATATTTAGTTTAGATGTACATTCATTATAAATAGTTGCTTGTAAAAATGGCATCTTCAAAACTGTGAGAAAGTAGTGTCTGGATTGGATTTAGTTAAGCCCGTATGCTCTCAAAAGCCAAAAATAAAAAGTAATGTTCTGTCCATTGGACTAATGGAGTATTGTGATTTGTTTTCCCCTGTATTACAATAGAGATTCTAATCAAAATTCCAAGAGTACACTTTGAACCACCTATTCCTTATATGAAGTTCTTGTGCTTCTTCATTCTTGTCAATTTGGATTCACTTTTTCACGTTGACTATGGATTAAAAATTTTTCGAGGATATACATGAGAATCTGACAACGACAAACCCTCACTTGTCTAGTTCATGGTCAAGCTCATATTCAACATAACATTATTCATGAAACTTACTTTGAAACGCAGTTGTTGCAAGTATCATTTTCCTGCTTGAATCCTGAGGCTAATTTATGTATGCTAAAAATGTGGTCCAAGATGAACAAGCATACTCATTAAAGGAATGCTTTTGTTGCCGCTGACAAAACTGCCATGTTTTTATATAGTTTCTATTTGTCAGCATGTAAAAACTACTTAAATACTTAGACATCAAAACAATTGATGATTTTCTTACAAAGAACAACGCTTCTACACGATTGGGGTGTTGATTCTCATCCATGCTAACAATTAGAATGTCGTTGAAAGAAACTATAAAAAATTCTCCTCATCTCTGTAATCAAACTGAAGCACCTGATTCATCATCCTCAAGAAGCCTCATCCCTCGTCTTAAAGGCGGTCTTCCATTAATCCCCCAACATTAGGATTACCACTCCTCAAATCAAACATGACATGGATCAAATGGCATCACCTTGTTATAGGCGTGCCCTCCTATCTCATATGGTGATAAGTGCCGTTTTCTTTCTGTCTTCATTGGCCATCTTGATTTGGTTATATATCACAAGAAAGCATTCATAATGGAGAAAATCCAATGTCCCGCGGTATTGTCGCAAGAACATCACGTGAGGAAGAGGAAACTCATCCTTTGGTTTAGTGTTTTCTTACAAAGTTGTTCTTTATAGCTCTTAAAAAATTGCATTCTTTCATGATCTCACACGCACATATCTGTAATTAATTTCGTTAAGAATGAACTAATATTGTTTGCCATCTTCTCCTCATGGTCGGTAAACTTACTGCAGTATATGCCAATTTTGTTAGTAAATCACTTCTATTTCTTCTTATTTTTATTTTCTCTTTGGCAGATAGACCTGGGAGACGCAGTGTTCTAGCTGCAGGCGTAATTGCCTCGTTGGTTTCGCTGATTAATCAAAATTCTGCGTCATGTAAGTCTCAGTATTAGTAGTGGCACTAGTAAAGGAATGTTTGTTGGATTTTATAATGACCACTGACCGATAAAAATTATGTTCTTTCTTTTCTACCTTTGATTTTGCCTTTCAAAGATGTCGGTTTTGAGATCTCATATTAGGGTCATTTCAGTAGTGATTGGCAGATACTATTTATGCTATTAGGGTCATTTCTGCAGTGAGTGGCAGATACTATTTATGTCCTGCATTTGTTTCCTTTAATTCCCATGGTGGCTGATATCCTAAGAACAAACCCTTGATATGGCTCAGTTGCTGCAGAAACTAAAAAGGGATTTCTGGCGGTATCAGACAATAAAGACGGCTACTCATTTCTTTATCCATTTGGGTGGCAGGTTTGTGTCTTTGTATTTTCTCCCATGTCTGTGGCTTATGAGATCTTCCGTTGGTGGCTCTAGTCAAGACATTACGATAACCTTTTTTTATTTGCTTGGGAATGGACAGGAAGTTGTCATAGAAGGTAAGGACAAGGTATTTAAAGATGTAATTGAACCACTGGAAAGTGTGAGCGTGAATTTGATTCCAACGAGCAAGCAAAACATTCGAGACTTCGGGCCTCCACAGCAGGTTAGTAGTGCAAGATCTGTACCACTGGAATGTTTAGCACATCAATTTCCATTTTCACTATTCAGTGTTTAACGATATTGTGCTGTCACTCATCTTTAATCAATGACAGGTTGCGGAAACTTTGATCAAAAAGGTTCTCGCTCCTCCTAACCAGAAAACAAAGCTAGTTGAGGCAACAGAGGTTTGATCCACTATATGCTTGTCTATTAAATTCGAACACATTGTTAGTTTATCAATTTCTGTTCAAAAGTTGAGCTATTAAGCAAACATCAGATTTTTTCTCTAGCACTCCTTCGTGTGGATTGGGTAGGCAATCGTGTAGGTGAACATTAACCGGAAAGGCCTAAAACCAACGTATTTAACTATCAACCAGAAACGTATTAAAAGGCGGACATGCAGCAACCTTCTCAATAGTATGGTTACTAGAGTTTGAACTTAGAATCTCCTGATATCATGCCAGTTTGTACATGTCGATTTATCGTTATTGTATCCGTTGTGCAGCATGACGTAGACGGGAAAATATATTACACGTTTGAGTTTATTGCTCAAGCTCCGAACTACACCCGCCATGCTCTCAGCGCTATCTGTATAGGCAACGGTAATTACAAGTCCGAAATGCGTCCTTTTGTATTATGCTTGTGATGCTACTTTTCCCCTTCAACACAAAGCTTCATTTACTATTCAAGAAAATTTCTTATGCAGAATTATGAAACTAACGAGTAATGACCAATACTTAAACACTTGGTCACGTGCAATTGCAGGGAAGTTCTATACTTTGACGACTGGGGCAAATGAAAGGAGGTGGGAGAAGATGAAAGACAAGTTGCGCTCTGTCATTGATTCCTTCAAGATTATCGATGTCTAACATCTGATTTTTCCTTCAAATTCTTTTATGATGAATTAAACAGAGGAGGATCCGAGTTTTCGATTGTGAGCAAACCGATGTGCAATTTTCGTGCAACACCCAGTTCTCTAGTGTGTGTACTGTGTTCCATCACCGTGGAATTATGGGTTCCCTTTTTATCTCTCTTTGGTAGAGCCAGGAAATGAATTTGTTAATTCAACTTGTAGATTATCTATATCAATGAAGAGGAAAGCATTTTGGCCTCTGAAAGATTACAAATGAACAACAACATACACATGAGTTCTTTTATGAGCATTTCCATGAAACTGGTGAATTTAATCCTACCGTTAAACTTTATTTTTTCTCAACTAATAAGCGGTTATTCCATCATACATCAAGAAAGAAACTTAAATTAACTGAACATCTCATTTCAAAAGAAAATTATAAAAGAATGCAACGCGTTTACCCTTTCGAGAGCAAACAAGCATGGTAAAAAAGAACCATATGATCATGATATGTAAAACCTAATCCATATTCAATTGTCAATGATGAAAAGAGAACAATCTCGAATACATACTACATAAAATCAAAACAAAGTAGGAGTTCTAACAGACTGCATTCCCTCCTATCAAAACTGTAACAGCAAGAAAAGAATAACTCGCTCAAAACAAACAGATGATACAATAGCTTAGATGATTCCAATCTTGTTGGCCACATCCAAAGCATCGTAATCCGGTGTCAACCTAACATAGGCCTTCTTCGTTCCATCAGGCCTAAACATACAAAAAGATTTTCATATAGTTAGCAATCGTGCAACTGCAAGAGCAAACAGTATTGATTATTGATTATCATTTGGTCAGCAATACCTGATCAAAGTGTTGACTTTCTTGGTTTGGATGTCGTACATCTTCTTAACGGCGTCCTTGATCTTCTTCTTGTCCGCGCGGATGTCAACAATGAAAACCAGGGTGTTGTTGTCCTCGATCTTCTTCATTGCAGACTCGGTAGTCAGTGGATACTTGAGAATCTGATAGTGGTCCAACTTATGTCTTGGTGGCGCACTGATGCGGGGATACTTGGGGTTCCTCTCCTTCTTCAATGTCTTCGGGCGATGGAAGGTGACTGATGTCCTGATCTTCTTCGCCTTCTTCTTGAATGTTGGCCCAGATTTCACTGCCTTGGCCGTCTTTGAGGCTTGCGCCTTTGGGTCGGACTTTTTCGTGTTGTCAGCTGCATTTAGTGTAAAGGTAAATCCACATTGATAGCTCTTTTGAGAATTAGTGAATTACTGAAAAAGACATGCATCTCAGAACACAAACCAAAAAAACCATGTTGTCAAGAGAAATCAATTCCAGGTAGCGTACAGTTGTAATTTTGTAACAAAAGCCTAACTCAAAGGTTCTAAAATCTTTATAATATCTCTATTGGAAACCAAATACACACTCATTTCAAGTTTAACCATTCAATGCCAAAGAAAAAGCACAAATTAAACTCCTCGATTAAAGGTAACACCCGTCGATAAAAAAAAAAAAAAAGTAAAACCCACAACAGCCACATGAAAAGTTACAACGTTTACAGTAGAACATTTGTGTTTTGGACAAGTAATTACATTGCCCATTTCTGAAGTTTAAAGAGGCCAAAATTTTACACACTGAACAGAATTAATCAGATCAGGTATGGCTGAAATTCAAATTACGACTCGGAAATATGCTTTTTATCTGTTCCCAATTTCCATCAAACGAGGCGCCAAAGAATGGACAAAAACAATTAGGGTTCTTCCTAAATCATTAGCTAGCTCTTAAAATTAAAATACAGCACTTAGCACTACTTAGGCAGAGAATAACCACAAAAAATTCAGCCATTAAAAATCCCAAAGAATCCATCCTGAAAATTAGTTCATGAAACAGCCAAACTGATTAAACAAACAAACAAACTAACTAACTAACTAAAAAGTACGTAGTAAATTTCGATCTTTCGTTAATTTCTCAAAAGGAAAAGCGAAACCAAAGCCTGAAACAGAGATAAGAACTTCGAAAGTACCTTTGGGAGCCATTTGCGTAAAACTCCGAGTTAAGCACTGCAACCTAAACGAAGGAAATACACGATTAGCACATAGAAAGAGGAAAAAGAGTCGATATTTAAAGGAAACGAGTAATGAAGATGAGAAATGAAGCTCGTGTTAGGGAGAGCTATGAAATACCTCTGAACCTGCGCGGCCAGCTAGGGTTTTCAGTCAAGAAGATGGAGGGCCTTTTATATGTGAGAGTTTCTGTTTTGGGCCCGATAAGACCTGGGCCTGATTACTTTAGCCCAGGAATGGATTGACTCAACCGATCTAGAGTGGACTTCTTTCTGGTTGTTAAGCTCAAATTTGGGCCCCCGGGTAGAGGAATGGATCGGTAGAATGATGGATAAGATATGAGGAAAGGAGAGTAAGAAAGAAAGGATAGATTGTAGTTTTTCTAAAAATTATTTGATATGATGGAAGGAATGATTTTTGTTACCCTTTTCTGTCATGTTCGTGTCAACTCATTTATTAATTATGTAAAAAAATATTAACTTAAACACGGTTTGTTTATTAAATGTATTAAAAATATCAACCTAAACTCGACCCATTTATTAATTGTGTTAATCGTGTCAACTCGTATAACCAGTTTAAATTAATATATTGAATAAATAACTAATATAATAATGACTTATTTAACCGTAATAGGTTTAATATGTTTATTGGTCAATTTATCTTTTCTTTTAAGAAAAATAAATGAATTTTACCTATAAATATTAAAATTCACATTATTTATATTTAATATGTCATATAAATTTTCATGTTATATCACATGTCATTAGGTGCAGATGACACATATAGTTAATCGTGTCAATTTGTGTCACTCCATATTAGGAGGTCAACTCTAACCTAACTCATTCATTAATCATGTTAATCGTGTTAACCCGATTATGACCCAAACCCATTTATAATAAACACAAACCCACTAACTTTGTATAGGTTTCGAGTTGTGTCGTTGTGTCATTACCCGGATTGCTAGTCCTAAGTATGAATTTAATTCATAAAATTACCATATTACCCATATGTTTAATAAATTATCTCACATATTTAGTTTTTTAAAGATTTAATTTAGATGTAACTAATTCATACTTTAGATAGTAAATATGTTTCAATTGATAATTTATAGTGTTAAGTTAAATGCTTATTGCTTATAGTTATTGTCATAAAACAATTGCCTCACAATCATATAAGTTTTATCAACGAATGTTTTTATTCAAAAAAAATAAAAAAAATAAAAAAAAGTTACCTTTGATACAAATGCGAATAAGTTATATATATATATATATTATATATAAAGAAACGTAAAACAAATTGTTGCAAAAAAAAATTTAAAAAGCGTAAAATAGTTTATATATTAATATTAAACTAAGAAAAGAGAGAAAAGAAAGATTAAGTAATTTTAGGGTGTGTTTGGAACTCGTTCTAAAATAATTTTATTTTTTGTATGAAAATGAAAATGAAAACGTTTTCAATCTCAGACATAAATTATTTTTGAAAATACGTTTGGTAGTTTTATCAAGAGATTACTTTCAGTGTAAAAAAAATCAATTAATGGCTCTCTTTATCTCTCTCTGCTTGAGAGAGAAGAAAACGAAAATAAAAAATAAAAAACGACTAAAAGTCATTTTTCATTTCTCTTTCATTTTATAATAAACCAAAAAATAGTTTTCATTTCCTTTTTTGTCTTTATTGCGCTAAACGCTGTTTTGAAAACGTTTTCATTTTTTTTTTCAAAAATCGTGAAAAAAAAACGGAATAAATTTCAAACACTGACTTAATTTTTGATAATCCCTCATTTTCTTCCCTTCCTTTCCATCTAAATATGTAAGGTTAATTTTTGGTAGGGTCCACGGATAGATAATCCCCTCCTTTTTGCTTTTGGTAGCACAATCCCTCTACCATTACTCTTTAGTAAATAAGTGGGCGTTTGATAGATGGATCGAGAATTATAATTTTAGATTCTGGTTCAGAATACATATTTATTTACAGTAATTCTGAATTATGATTCAGAATCAGTGTTTTGTTTGGATGATTCTGAATTATGATTCAAAATCTGATGTAATATTTTAAATTATAATCACTCATGATTCTAAAACTACTTTCCTCTTGATTTAAGGTGATTCAAACCCTTGATTATGAATCATGGTTTCAGAATCATGATTTGAACCCAAAATCATGAATCATGGTTCTAGTTCTAGAATTATGATTATAATCACTCTGATTTGAATGCTTGTACCAAACGAACCATAAGAGATTTATAAAATGAAATTAAATAAATAAAACATTTTAAAACTATTTAAAATAAAAGAAATTTATGTATTTACGATTAGAAATTTTTTTTTAGGTAAATTTTGTTTACGACTGCTAAAAAGATTTTTTCAGTTAAATAAAAAAAATTTTACCACATAAATTATTTTTTTATCATTTGTAAATGAAATATTTACACGGTAAAATGATATTTACTTCAAATAGTTTTATAATATGTTATTTTTATAATTTAGTTTTAAAAATCTGTTATTTACTACAATTTCTCTGGCGTGTAAATTAAGTTTTTGAAGTCTAGTTATGTAAAAATTAATTTTTTTAAAGGATGTAAAAATTATTGAATTCTTCACAAAATAATATATATTTAAATTTCAACTCTAACTCTCTAAAAGCATTATTTCTATTATTTCTTCGTGTAGATTTGCCTATGGCCTCAAGCTCTGATGAGCTACTGATTATAATCTGGCATGGATGAGATTATGTGAAAGATCTTGAACAAATTCGACAAGGTTGCACCGAATCTACCATGCAAAATTGCAAAGCAAGCAAAAACTTTGATTACTCATCCTCGATAAGCTCTTCCTTAGACGAGGCTATTTGAGAGACTAACATTTTACTAATAGAATACTGTGTTGTTGTTGTTGCAGGACTCCAGTGGATGACTTCTAAATCATCATTTTTTTTTTTGTTATTTTTTGGTGTTTGATAATACAAGATTTATTTTTGTAATTCAGTTCTTTTGTGTGTGTGCGTGTGTGTGTTTTTCAACTGATTCCTTGAGTTAATTCAGTGGATTACATATAGTAAACCTAGAAGATTACTTTGACGACTGGTGATGAGTTGTTTTGAGATTAAACTGGTCGATTACTGGTGGTAATCACTCATGATACTCTAGTGATTCTAGTGACTAGCACGAGAGATTTAATGAGAAAATTATAAATTCTACCTCTTTTAAATATATGACTTACTAAATGTATCTCTTTTAAAAAACTCTATCTTTGACTAGTTCTAATCTAAGAGGTAAAAATATAGACTAATATTAATGAACAAAAATAAAAAGGAACTCCAGCAGGTATTTTTAAAAATTGTCCCATCTGAATGGAAAGCACATTATTATTTAGTAAGTTGTCGGTGGTAATCTAATAGATTTCTCCAGAGAACATTTGCCGGCAAGGACCGATGGTTACTGTCTAACAATAAAATCTGGTAGATTATAGTTGATAATTTAGTAGATTATTCTGACGTTCAACAAAGGTGACCCAGCGGACGAAGTTTGGCAAAATACACCTTGTTGACCTTGTAATCGATCATTATAGTGAAGAATTCAAACCCCTTCAAGAGTCGAAATTCTATTTGTTAATATGCCTCATTACGCTAACATTATTTTTCTCAAAATTTATAATTTTGTGTGAATCAGTGGACGGCAAGCCATGCTACAGGGGAAGGAAATACACTCGGATAAATCAAATAAGGAAATAAGGAAGCGGATTCATACCATCTTGCTCAAATAAAACTTCGGTATAGTCATATGTTGAGCAAAAAACTTCGGTATAGTCATACGTTGGATAATTTTTTAAACAAGAATAAATTAATTATCAAGAGTGCTAAATCCCCATAAAAAAAAAATACTAAATCAAATTGAATAAATAAATTAAAAAAAAAGAATTCATATCTTATTTCGTTTCTCTGTCTATTAATAAAAAGAGAGGATAAGTGTTTAAAAATTGTACTTCAACTTTCCAAATTCAATAGTTCAAACTTACTCATTCTGCACTTAGCTTAAATTTACTCCATTTGGCTTATTTATCTTCAAACGCCTCACACTCTCACTGTCTCGATCACACAAATTAATATAAAAAATACATATAGAAAGACGATATGCTGGCAAATTTTTTGAGTTTGTACTTCAACATTGGGTGCTTGGTTAGGTTTTTTTTTTTTTTTTTTTTTTTTTTTTTTTTTTTTTTTTTTTTTCTTTTCCTTCTAGAAATCTTGCATATTATCTGCTTTTTTTTTTCCCCGCAGAATATTGTCTGCTTGGTTGCTTCATGTGAATCTGCATGCTCCACTACAAGTGGTAGTTTGATTGCTTGTGTTGTCTTTTTCCCAAAATATAACTCTATTTAAATATTTTTCCATGTAGTCCTTTGAAAAAGAAATATGATAATATTTTTCCCAAACAAATTGGTGCTGTCTATAGTTCGGTGTTGCTGTCCAAACTGCATTCAAAATCAGTTCAAAAAATGTGTAATTTCAAACGAGAGATATATTACAATCTCTCTAACACCTCCTTCCAGGTGTTTCGATAACAGTTGGGACAAATGGCACGTGGGTCGTCCGACGCGTGGTGTTTGTTGCATGAGAAAGGCGCTGGCCACCCAGAGATGAAAAACCTTCTGGCCGTTGACTTTGTATTGTCGTTGGTGATCAGCGATAGGAGGCCGTTTATAGAAGGTGAAATATCACTAGTATTGGGTTTCAAAATTGTGTCTTTGCTAACATTAGGCTGTAGCCTGTATGTAAGAGTCGTCCAGATTTTCGAAGCTCTCATAGAGCTTTCCAAGAGTGCCAACCATTCCGTCGACTTTTGACAAGAGGTTAATGATAGTGCCAATTGGTTGGTAACGAGAGAAAGGTTAAGAGAAAATCCACAAAGTTCTTCTCGGCTTCGGCATACAGGACTCTTTGGTTCTTTGTGTCGATGAGGAGTATTAGAGTAAGGCTGAACTCCGACTCCGAGCTTGGCGTTGCCATTCTGTTATAGTGTACTATACGTATATTGATCAAGGACTAACCTAAGTCACCTTTATAATGAAAGTTTGGCTTTAAATGGACTGGAAAGTTTAATGGTAATGTGTATATATATATATATATATATACACACACACTATGCCGTGCGTGACATATATAT